ATACTTCTGCAGCATACACGCCACCACCTTGGTGAACTCTGCAAGCAAGCAAACACAAAACAAACATCAGGTCTAGCACGCCATCGAAGGCTAGAAGTGGGATCAGGATCTGGCACTTACCTTTGCGGTCGGGCTTATGGCAGTGCTTGACGAGGCAAATGCTGTCCTTGGCGAACTCGCGCAGCGAGTCGACCACCGAGTCGACGGCGTCCATGGCAGTGGCGGTGGTGGCCGGAGATCTCACGGGGCTTTGCATGGAAGAGTCGCGATCGCTGGTTGTGGACCTCCTGAGAGCGGGCGCCAGCTGGCCCTCGACGCGACAGCCGTCGTCCTGGGAGAGGGCGTCGGCGCACGCTCTCGGCCGCTGCCGCCTCGCACTGTCGCGCACCGCGGGCCCGAGGCCGCCGCCTCCTCACCGCGCGCGCGTCCTCGCCGCCGCCTTCCCGCTACGTGCCCTCGCCACCGCCTCCGCGCCGCGCCGCCGCCGCTTCCGCCGCCCTCGCGCTAGCTAGGGTTTCGACAAGCTTTTCCTGAACACACGGGGTGGGAGACGCACGGGTGGAAGACTCAACCCTATCTATTCCCTCACGGGTGGGAGATGGCTGCTTCAGATTTAAAACGTAGGGGTAAAAATGCAAACCCTAAAATGTGAGGGCAAAACAATAATTGGTTTTCAAAGTGGGGGCACATATGCAATTGTCCCTAAATAAATGTACAACCAAGTCAATGTACATGAAGTTTTAGGGAGTGATTGAAAGAGATATGTAGAAAATATAGAAGGAAACTATTTTGATTTCTTTAGGGAATATCTCCTAGTTACCATTAAAATGGTCATGAAAAATTCTCAAAAATTTGATCACAAGATATCTCTGGAAGTAAAACATTTCTATACTAGATGGTACCCTGTGCGTTGCTGCAAAAATTGGTAAGAAATATTCAACATGAAAAATATTATAGGTGATATATCTTAGGAGAAGTAGGAAAAGGTATTTATAGTGGACCAGAGGGCAGATCCAGCGTAGGTGCTGGATCACCATTGAGAGAAGGGGAGGGGTAGGGGGAAGAAGAGGGAGAGGAAGAGAAAGGGGCTGGAGGGAGGAGATAAACCCTCCATTCTATTTCTAGATCCGCCCCTGCTGTGAACCAATCATGGATATTGTTTCTTCAATCATGCAAGTAGTGGTGAGAAAACTCAAATTAAAACAGGGAAGCAATAGTAGCTGAGTTTGTAAGACATTGGTGAAAACTTCTAAAGAAAAAGAGACCAATATATGTCTTGAAAGAATAAACATGGATTACATTTACAATGCACCTGATACAGAAGTTCTACTCCAATGACTGTCCATCGAAAAAGAGAATATATTATTTCTCAAGATGATAATTTATTTGTAAACCTGATATCTTTGTGCAATATGTCCTTATTATGATGCTAGAAAAGCATTCTGCAAGATAAACCTGATTGCAGATAGCTTGAATTAGCAATGGATGACAAACCTTTTCACATTTTTCGCAACTTTGCATACATGCGCTTGTCTTGGACATCTCAATCATCACTGCGTGAACAAAATCATGACTAACAACAAACTCTACTTAATCATTAGGTTTCAAAGTGAATCAATCACCTGTACATAAGAATGGAATCACAACTTACATGGTTGTCAAATCACCTGTACATAAAAATGCCTCGAAATAGCAAATTCAAAAATACTCTCAAAAGTATATTACTACTCCCGTTGATTAAGTTCCTTGAAAGACGAAATAATATATTGTAGGCAAACATGTTTTGATCTGGTCTGTTGGAATTAGTTTCACATCTTTGGATTATGGTAAAAACGAAGTTTTCAATACAGAATTCCCTTTACCCAAGTGGTTGGTCAGGATCATAACTTGCAACCCATCTTGAATTGAATGATGGATTGATACGTAGCTCATCAATTGTCATACGAACACCTGCATATACTTTTCAGCTAGATCTAGAATAGACATCCACTTACAAAAAACTGATTACGAAAACAAATTGGAACCCATGGAACATGAATACTCATATCCTTGTACACAGCTATATGATCACAGAATATAATCAATAGCCACAAAAAGACAGAACGACAGACAATTTGAGACAGCGAAAAGAGATCATTCAAATGACATACCATCAGGAGAAAAACTATAGCTTGCATAGAGGAGGATATCACATCAGAGATCTTTATTCAGCATTTCATTCAACAGCATCACCAAAATCTGAAAACATCAAAATTGAGAAAGGGGACTAGTGTATAGTCTGATGTATTGTTGCCCTCACTTCAGGAGGAATTGGATTAATCAACATAGGAAAAAAATGAAATCAAATGAATTAGTATAAAAAAGTGGGATTGGGCTAAAAAAATAAAGGAGAGAAGAAATATATGCCTCTAGAAAAATAGATGGGTGACATAGGAATAGGTAGGTGAATCGACATAAACAACGAATCGGCAAGTGAGGCTTGCATACTGGAGACTATTAGAATCTACTGGCAAACCTATCGTACCATGGAGCTGATTGTGGCCATGATGTTGAAGAGCGATGCAGTTGCAGCAATGCAGGCATGGTCTCCATTCAACTGACAATTTCAATTTCTTTATAATTATGGAGAAGATGAATGTGAAGGAGAGATATCAATGCACAGTAAAGAGAGTTATTGAGAATGGGAGATACCAAAGGAGGGAGAAAAAGGGGAGGCGTCACTACTGTGGGGGTGTGCGGTGAGCGGCGTTTCGCATCTCAACGATGATGCCTGACAACCGGTGCTAGATAGTAGGGTAGAGATTTGGGCTGGGCTAACCATAGTGTTGTGGGAGAGAAATGAGTATTGGGCTGGGCTTCACGTTCGATAGCAATGGAGCAATCGAGCAATGGAGGGTTGTTTGATCCAGATCGTATGGTTTAATCTCTGATACGAATCAAATAACACAAGCAAGAACGAGGTAGATTGCAACTTGATTTATAGATGAATGATTAAACACTTGGTGTTGGGGTTCTACAAACCGAACTAGCTGTGAAACTGCATTTGGCAGAATAGTCTAAGCAAAATCTGATTCTAAACGATGAAGGCTACTGAATAAATTTGATTAGGGATGTCCTAAGGTTAGCCCTAGGGCATCTACCCCTTGGTCTTAGCCCATGACATAATTACAAGGTCCAAGGCCAAATCAGACTTGGTCAGGATAAGGTACGTGGCTTGTTTTGCATATTCCTAACAACTTAGGAGATGAAAGTATACTCCATAAGCTTTCCAACGAGTACTCATGGACTGTGAGAGTTGTAGTTCCTCATCAACATCCTAACATAGTCCATGGGCCTCCGTTTGAAGTTGATGCTGTCAGAAGGCCCGAATCCGAATTCAAAATGTACAGAACTTAATGTCTTGCCTCTTGTGGACCAAAAGTGACGTGGTGATGTAGGAGTAGACTAAGGAATGTCACTTATTTGATCATCCATTCATCCCTTGCGTTCGGTGTCTTTCCCGTCACCCAAAAACGTAACTCTGCAAATAAGAACACACAAAACTCATGGTGCAATAATATTTGTTCAAATATATAACACATAAATCTTACATAGAATACATGCACCTTTGGTTGATATATAGATAATGTAGCCATGGTCATATCCGAACTAGTGTTGTCCTCATCACATCACTTTTGAAGGAACCTATATGCCTAGACCATGATGTTTTACAAGACATGCATTTTTTCCATGCATTTACCTAACCTCATATCTCAAAGTGGAATTCAACCAAATGAAGTTAAACTTGCGGCAATGGTTAAATTTCTTATAACTTAGGAGAAAAATCCCACCGTCTAAACATGGGCTAAAGTATGGCTGATGTAATTTCCCAACGCATAAAATGGTTCTATGAGAAGTGCTTCTTGCTAAGGTATATGTCCCTGAATTCATTGCAGTAAAGGCTTTGTGGGATGTCTCCTACAGCCAAGGCTTTCCTCGGCTGTAACTGTCCCATTTGTTACGTGTTTTCTTTGCTTTCTAAAATGAAGACATGCAATCTACCTGAAAACAAATTGTTCTAGAAGAAAGATAAATAACCGAAACTATTTGGAGAGCATTCAGGTTACATGGTTAGTCCATGGTGCTAGATATTGCTATATAATACTCAATGCAATGCTCAATAGATATAAGTTTCAAAGCTGTATAAGAATTTTAGGTTAGTGTGCAATGTAAGTGTAGCTTCTTATAGCTTAGTGCTTTACTATCTTCACAAGCACATGCTATAGTATTGTTCCAAGATGAAAGAATAATTCATCCTTGCTACCAACTTGCATGATATTATATTTGTGAATATCCTATCTCTTGGCTTATAATGAAATGTGCTGCTGGGTTATACCTGACCATGGTATTTGAGAGACCTTTGTATAGCTGAAACCAACGTATATGCGAGCATGGAACAAGAGAACAAAATGCAAGGATTTTTTTATACTGGTTCATGCCCCTGGATGGGTTAATATCGTGATCATCAAAAAAGATATGCATAAAATTAAAGTAATAAATTTGCTCATAAGAAACCAAAACCAAAAGCACATATGTCCTAAACAAACTGCATTTTGTTTGTCATGTAGCAATACAAGAGATAATATATGACGTGGTTATGACTTATTCACTTTTTGTGACTCCAAAATGTAGTAGGTCTAACTGATTGTTTAAAGTGATGTGCTTACTGTAGAAGTTTCATCCCAAAAGCAATCACTAAAGCAACACACAACGTATAGTCCACCTTGCACGTAATTCTTTGTGGAAGATAACAAGAAGGCTCACTGAAAAATAAAAGCAAAGAAAAGGATATCAAACAGACCATTGTGCATCCCATTGATACTTGTATGTCTATTTATCTATCCACCTTTTGTGTACCTTACTTCTATCTAGTGAGTCACTTCATATGTGGACATTAACAAACTCTATCTTAACATCTAGTCGATCACTACTTTACTTCACTATAAAAGGACCAACATATATCACCATTTCTCACAAAAGCATTGAGTTCAGTCCCACAAAAACATGGCAACCATCAAATTCCCTATAGTTTTCTCCGTCGTTTGCTTGTTCCTCTTGTGTAATGGTTCGTTAGCCCAACTTCTTAGCCAAAGTACTAGTCAATGGCAAAGTTCTCGCCGTGGAAGTCCAAGAGAGTGCAGATTTGATCGGTTGCAAGCATTTGAGCCGATTCGCACTGTAAGGTCCCAAGCTGGTACAACTGAGTTTTTTGATGTCTCTAATGAGTTGTTTCAATGTACTGGAGTATTTGTTGTCCGTCGAGTTATCGAACCTAGAGGTCTTCTGTTACCTCACTACTCCAATGGAGCAACTTTGGTATATGTCATCCAAGGTTTGTGATTACATTTAAGTATATATTGATTAATCCTTGTACTTATATCATTTTATTAACATGGCAATCCACACTTGCAGGCAGAGGTATAACAGGACCAACTTTCCCAGGATGTCCTGAGACCTATCAACAACAGTTTCAGCAATCCGAGCAAGACCAACAATTGGAAGGCCAAAGCCAAAGCCATAAATTTAGAGATGAACATCAAAAGATCCACCGTTTTCAACAGGGGGATGTAGTTGCATTGCCTGCTGGTGTTGCTCATTGGTGCTACAATGATGGTGATGCACCAATTGTTGCCATATATGTCACTGATATATACAATAGTGCTAACCAACTTGATCCTAGACACAGGGTAATTCATCGTATATTATCTATAGTCATTACCCTAAGTATTCCAATCATTTATTTGATTTATTGGGCAACTCTCTTTTGACATACTAATTGTTTGTTTATGGATTGTTAGGATTTCTTTTTAGCTGGCAACAATAAGATAGGTCAACAATTGTATAGATATGAGGCAAGGGACAATTCGAAGAACGTCTTTGGTGGATTTAGTGTTGAACTACTTAGCGAGGCTCTTGGCATAAGCAGTGGAGTAGCAAGACAACTCCAGTGCCAAAATGACCAAAGAGGAGAAATAGTTCGTGTTGAGCATGGGCTTTCCTTGCTCCAACCATATGCATCGTTGCAAGAGCAACAACAAGAACAGGTGCAATCGAGAGACTATGGCCAAACACAATATCAACAAAAACAACTTCAAGGTAGTTGCTCTAATGGTTTGGATGAGACCTTTTGTACCATGAGGGTAAGGCAAAATATCGACAACCCAAACCTCGCAGATACATACAACCCCAGAGCAGGAAGGATCACATATCTAAATGGCCAAAAGTTCCCCATTCTTAATCTTGTACAGATGAGTGCCGTTAAAGTAAATTTATATCAGGTAAAACCACATGACATTTTATCCTCATGAAAGAAAATATTTTGAAAATTATGCTGACAATGTTCTCTCTATTGCAGAACGCACTCCTTTCACCTTTTTGGAACATCAACGCTCATAGTGTCGTGTATATTACTCAAGGTCGTGCCCGAGTTCAAGTCGTCAACAACAATGGAAAGACAGTGTTCGATGGAGAGCTCCGTCGTGGGCAGCTTCTAATTATACCACAACACCATGTAGTCATTAAAAAGGCACAAAGGGAAGGATGCTCATATATTGCATTGAAAACCAACCCTGACTCCATGGTTAGCCACATGGCAGGAAAGAATTCCATCTTCCGCGCACTTCCTGACGATGTTGTAGCAAATGCATATCGTATCTCAAGAGAAGAAGCTAGGAGGCTCAAGCACAACAGGGGAGATGAGTTAGGTGTGTTCACTCCTAGTCATGCCTACAAGAGCTACCAAGACATATCTGTGAGTGCATAACCAAGAAATGTCAATCATAGGCTTGGATTGCTAAGGATGGTTTTCAAATAAATCATAAGCAATAAAAGAGTGCATGTTGTTGCAGCTATGTAATAGTGGATGGTTGGAAGAATAATAATAAATTTGTGTTCCTTTAAGTAACTATATTAAATATGAGAGAAAAATTAAGAAATGCCATCAACAAGCATCTAGAGTACACGTTTTGTCATTGATCACTATGGTTTGGATGTATGACCACGTGCACGCAGACGTGACATGATCACAGACGACACCTTGGTGGTCGGCTCGACGCTACGCCACAGCACTGTCCAGCAAAGTTGCCGCCTCAACTGCGCCGGATGGCAAGAATCATCAGAGCGACCAAGCGAGGTCATGCAATGGCACTGTGTGCACCCATTCCTCTCGACCTACGCCGCACTCTCTCTCAAGTGCATCTAGGAGCGAGGCAAACGGTGTTTAGCGAATAGCGAGTCGAGGAGTTTATTGGTGGGATAGCACCAGGGCGGGCTGCGATCGATGGCGCGGAGCCGCGAGGACAATGGAGTTTTGGAGAGTAGATGATTGGGACGGCAGGGGGCGTTCATGCGCCGCGCAAGCGTGTGGCCGTTTGCCCGGGGAGAATGGCTACACCCCTAAAGCACGAATACCACTTGCATGCCTCCAGTTAAACAAGCTTACGTATTGACTTGCATATCTTCTTACATTTTTATTTTACATTCAATACCTACAGGGTTGATTGCCTATCCCTACAAGAGCTTGTTAATCAACCATCAGAATTGGGCAGGATTGAATGATTACTTGAAGAGGTTTATGGATGAATGAGATCACGCTGAGGTTTTCATTCACTTCCATTGGAGGATGCCGATTGATCTACTGCTTTCCAATAATGTTTTTGAAGCTTGTACCTTTTTTGTCAAACTTTTACTCCATATGCAAGCAGTGAACACATCAAGTCTCTGATTAATGATATTAAGAATAGCTTCAGTTCTACTAGGTAACATTACCTATTGTGTCATTGTCCAATTGTTGCATTAATCGTATCAAATACCATACCTTTGTTGCTTGATGAAATATATAGCTTCTCTATATCATTTAAGATCCATTATAATGATTAGATGATCTTCCTTTCTCCAACACAGTTGGCTTGATCATTTTTTTCAACCATAATTTGCATATGTCTCTTGTCACATTGCTTAAAACTTCTTAAAGTAGCACTATAACTATCTCGCCTTCATTTGCAGCCAATATCTCCTTTACGTACTAAACTGCTTATTTGTGAACTTATTGTGATTTTTTTTGACCGGGGAACTTATTGTGATTTGGGAAGTGATTGTTTGAAGTTTTTCTTTTCAGATCTCTAGAGCACCCGAACAACATGATGAACTTGATAAAAGATTATTGTGGGCTGAACTTTCCAAAACAAGTAGGGTAAGTGTGGATCATTTTTAGCAAGTCATAACATTGCTAAATATAATATCTGATTATTGTAATCGTCTAGGCATGAGAATCAAGGACATAGCAAATTGTGGTCAATTGTCTGAAATTAGATCGTCAAGAGAAGAAGGTCAAATTCCATTGCTTGCTTTGTGGAAATGAAGGCTGGACTTACCCAAACACAAGATATCTACAACATCACCTAACAAATCAATGTCCAAAGATTACCGATAGTGTACGTCAACGACTTGCTGCGTGGAATGCTTCCAAAGTGAACCAAAAATAGAAATCCAAAAGACAAACACAGTGTTGGCCCTAAAACTAGGATAAAAGAACATAAGGTGTATGAACTAAAGTATTTTTCACATATTACAAGGCAAGACACCATTTACATAGGGGTATATGTCCTTTTATAGGACTTTTAGGTCGGTTTCTACATCAACCAACATGCTACAATACTCAAAACAGCTAAATATCACTAGCTAGTAGTCAATTTCTAGTTCTCTTGTACAACTTCAACTTTACAACTAAGCAATAACCCAACTATAGCTAATTCTCTAGATGCATCATGTTCTTTACAACTCATGGGACAATCCAATTTGATTTCGTTATCTCAAGAACACAAATTAATTCCAACACACAGTTGCTTGATGACAATACAACCGGTATGTTAAATTTGCACCCATTTAGCGTAATCTTGTCAATTAGTTTTGGATTGCAATGGATATATTTTCATATCATATAGGTACGAATGAGTTGAATGTTGTTAGTTCCCAACATGGAGAACAATTGAATGCAAAAGATCAAGATGAACTGCAAAACATCAAGGAGAAGGTAAGGTTTGCTTATTAGCTAGTTATACATTGATGGTTTTTTATTTTTGTGTCTATGTTTCCTACCGGTTAGGAGCTAGTTTACGGCCTGTTTTTTTTAAAAGGGAACACAAAAGCATTCCATTATGAAGACATACTGGCTGCAGCTATTGAGTTTGTACAAACTCAGGGAAATGGCTTGCAATAACTTCTCTGTTCACCACTGAATTTTGCTACAAGCCTTCTTTCTTTAATGTACTGAAAGTTTTTGAATTTCTCTTCCCAATATAAGCTGGTAGTCTAAAATATCTCCATTTTAATCCTTCAACTGAGATGTGTAAAATATCCATTACTTCACTTTGTTGCCACTATTCTGTGTTAATGTTGAAAAGGATAGTTAATTTATCTTTATTTATCACTTGTCCAGAACATGCTTCGTATTTATCTAGTACTAGAATTTGGGTGTGCCATTTGGTGCGCTGGCTAAGTAACTCGTGCATATTGTTTAGGTTATTTGAAACCTACAAATCCAAATTTTTTTATGGATATTATTTTTAACCATACACTCAAAATGCCCCTTGACACAATATTTGAATTAAGGATTTTAATTCAAAATTTTATTTGTAATAACAAAAGGTACAATTTTAAATGTTTTACACCTGTTTTTTAAAACCAATGCATGTCTAGCTCTAGCATCCTAGCTACTTCCCTTCACTGCCTTCCCAAACATGACCAAATTAAGTATGTATGCAAGAATGGGAGCATTTTATAAAGGTTGAGCTTGAATTGAGCCATGGCATGGTTGGGTCATTGGAGTCATGCATGTCTGATGTACTGATATCAAGATCTCGATATGATACTTGAGTTCCACTCTATGCGATCTGGGGAGGGTGCTTGGAAGTGCGTGCGGAGGCGAGGTTGGTGAAGGATGGCAGAGGTGCAGTGAGAGCTAGTTAGCCGGCCCCGCTTAGGGGAGGGTGTGGTTCTGAGCTGCTAGGATGTCGTGATGACTGCAATTGGCGGGCCTGATCTGTGTGGAGAAACAAGGGGAAGCTGATTGCGCTAGGAAGTTCTCTTTGAACTCCGCGATCACCAGGTATGGAAGCTGCTAGGGGAAAAGGAAGAGCTTGAACTCAGCAGTCTAAGCCATGACTTCCGTCGCTTGAATCTAGAACCGAAGGAAATCGTGGTGGCGACCTTCTCCAGCTCACACAATCTTTGGATCTGCTTTCATCAATCCGGCGTTGTTAAACCGTCCATCCATTGTTTCTATGTTCTAGTGGTCCTCTTCGACACGAGGAGGAGGATCCAAATGATGAAAATGAGAAGGGGCACCACCGAGTCGCCCACACCGGTCATGACAGTGAGGAGCACCCATGTTTTAGTTGGTAGGTTGATTTTTCTAGATATTATGTGTTTTTTATCCTCTTTCCTGTTAGGTGTTGGTGAATTTTATCTCTTTTTTTCACCAATGTGTCGATAACCTGCACCTCTGCAAGTCTCGATAGTTCTTTGTTTTTATTTTCTGTTTTCTAGATTTTTTTTGACACATCCTTAACCATAGCAGCCATAGCTAGTAATTGAAAAGAACATAGCCATAATTTAATATCTTCTAGATATTTGGTATATGTAAACTTTCAGGTTAATATTCTTCGTATTTGAAGTTCAGTGTTAATAATATATAACATTTTATATGCAGTTAACATCAACTAAGTTTTTATTCTATTGTATCTACTTTTATTGTAGTTAGGATCAAGTTTGACATGTTTTGCCCTAGATACTGGGAACATGCAATCTTTATTGAGTATTCTTAATAGTACAAATTCTTTGTGAGTAACATATAATCTAGCAACTGCTAAGGGATGTATATTTGATCTAATGATTGCTCATAACATTGGTGGGTCCGTGGAGATGACCTGATATGCAAAATGATCAAGGAATGCTTTGATAGTATTAATCAATCAACTGAACAAATGAATCGTAAGTAACTTGCGTTATACTTTTCTGCTTCTACAATGCATTATTTGACTGCTGTGGCTGTTTAATTGTAACTTGATTTGTGCTCATATGTAGTTCATGCCCAATGTGCATATTTGTAGTTGCATTGTGCTAATTTACATATGTGATTTTGCTAGTACCTTCTCTGATCGTTATGTTAACTGCAATTAATGTTTCAATTCTATGTTTGTCGACCAATAAACAACAATATCTCAATGATCTTATTGCAAAGTACAGCTTGCCAAAATGAGTTTTCATCCTTGGATTCTCTTGATCAACATCATGCAGGAGCTTTAGCCACAGAGATTGCTCCTCATCAATCTTCTAATGAGCCTAGAGAAGTACCAACTGAAGTAGAGCATAATATGCTTTCTAATGTAGAAGCACCAGTTCTAGCCCAAGTTGTAGAAAATATCTTTCAAAATGAAGAAATAATAGCATCAACTGAAGAAACCACCACTACTTGACCTGCTGAGCAGGATAGGGGTACAACAGATTTAGGTCTTGATAGTTTCTGGCCGTGATTTTGCTAGCAATGTTAAAGAAATTGTGTGATGTCATAGCTAATCCATTGATCCGCTGAGGAAAGAACTGTTCTAGCCATGATTCTGGCAGTAATGTTAAAGAAATTATGTGGTGTGATAGCTAGTCCATCGGTCTATGTTGACGGTCGTTACCGACAAATTCCGACTGTCAATATAACTAAAATAATGGAGAACTAGCTATGCTTACAATGCATCTTTATTTCTAAATAATATATTTCCACTTGTACTTGGAGAATAACATGTTGCAGGAATTTATCAAATAAAATAAAGAGAAAAGTGAAGAAACCTCACTCCTAAGCAAGGAAATGGATAAGGAGGGCCCACATGTCAGGTGTAACCGTCCGGAAACCGCCTTAACTGTCAAAACCGACAATACGACCCACCTGTCAGCCACTATACCGAAGGGGAGGTCGGTTGGAGCCAACCCTGGTTCGACCGAACCAGGGGCAAATCGGCTCGCCCCCCCCTCCCCCCCTTACCATGGACGTCCAGGATGCGCTGTTGATGGCTGTTACGAGGGTAAAATGGACACTTTGCATGGAGTAACCGTCATACCGGGCCTATAAAAGGAGCTCACTTCACTTCCAAAACACACTCAAGCAAGCTAATTCCTCTTCATATTTTAGTATTAGTAGTATATTGCTAAGTGGAGTAGTATAGAATAGTGTTTAGAAGTCCTCAAAGTCTTCGGAAGAGTTTTCGGTATGGCTCTAGCCGCTCCTGTAATCTCTTCTGTAATACTTTCCGAATTAATGAAGTATTCTTCTTTATATATCTTCAGTACTTTACTTAGTTTGAGTACTAGTCTTACTTTATATCTGCTCTATGTTAATTGTGTGGGTAGCCTACCAGAGAGGTGTAATGGTGCGGATTTAATGTCTGAATTATCAATCACTCTATGTCGGGCATGCGGGTATAGAGTAGTATTTAATAATGTAAGCGTGGTGCTTAGATTATTAAGTATCATTAATTGGGCATATATACTACGAGACAGTAGAGGTGAGCCGCTAATGGTGACAGCTCAGTACGGATATTCCTCCATGTTAGTATATATAGGGGTGGGCATTCGGTCAGACCAAAAAATTCGGTCTCGGTCTTCGGTTTTTCGGTTAGTTCGGTCTTTGCAAACTTAGGACCGAATTTCATCCAAAAAAACTCAAGACCGGCAAATTCGGTCTCGGTCTTTTCGGTCTCGGTCTCGGTCTGACCGAAATTTTTGAGGATAAAGTTTGGAACGAAAAAATTTGACAGAGGCGTCGCCGGCGCGGTGAAGGGCGGAGGCGTCGACTGCGGCGCGGTGGAGGACGGCGTCGGCCGCTGCACGATGGAGGACGGCGGCGTCAGCCGCGGCGCGGTAGAGGACGGCGGTGGCGGCCGCGCGGTGGAGGACGGCGTCGGCCGCGGCGCGGTGGAGGACGGCGTCGTCGGCCGCGGCATGGTGGAGGACGGCGGCGGCGGCCGCGCGGTGGAGGCAGAGGCGGCGGCCGCGGCACGGTGTAGGGTGGAGGCGGGCCGCAGCGCGGTGGAGGGTGGAAGCGGCGGCCGCGCGGGAGAGGGCGGAGGCGACGGACGCGCGGTGGAGGGCGGAGCCGGCGGCGGCGACGCGGTGGAGGCTAGAGGAGGCGGCGGCACGGTGGGGGCGGAGCCGGCGGTGGGGGCTGGAGGAGGCGGCGCGGAGGGGTTAGAGGAGGAGGCGGCGCTGTGCGGCAGTGATGGTAGGGTTTGTTTTAGGGTTTCTTTTAGTGGGCTTATTGGGCTTCCTAGGCCTATTGGGCCAAAATTTCGGTCATTTCGGTTAATTCGGTTAACCGAGCCCAATAACCGAAATGACCGAAATAAATTCGATCTTCTGAGGGCTGAGACCGAACAGGTAACCGAATTTCTCGGTATTGGTCTTTTCGGTCTCGGTCTCGGTCTTTTCGGTTCGGTCTAAATATGCCCACCCCTAAGTATATATATTCCTAATCAAATTCTTGGGGAGGGTACTCCGTATTTAGCCCCGGTTGGACGGCAATGACAGGTTGTCGTAAGAAACTCAGCAACCCGGGGTGGTCTCTCGAAGTACCAGGAGGACACTGTTAGGGGGTATTGGCCACACGATTGTACATTAGCAGATGTAAGTTAGGATTTGAGTGTATACTAGAAGTATAGGAATTGAGTGCTTTCTATTTCTCTTCCACTTAGTTATAATTATTTTGTTATGAGGATTGAATAGCTTTGCTTCGTGTCACTCTACCCTTATATTATATTTAACCCCTATTTAGGCTCTAACAATTATAAGTAATATATGTATAAAGTGCATTAGTAAAGTTCACTCTTATTATCTTCCCTTGGGATTAAAAATACGATACATTCGAATACTTCCAAGTGAAATGCTACAATGGTATATATGTGCGCTTGCGGATTAATTCTATAACCATAAATAATAGGATCATTTCTGGCGCCATTGCTAGAATGCATATTTCTAGTAATGTCGTTGAGAAATACCACCAGTCTGACAAGAAAAAATAAACTTGTGTTACTGTTACACTATCATAAAAGGAAACTGATTAACAATTAAGAACAATTAAGCTCTTAGCGTTCCATGCATCCTATGCAACTATACAAGTAATGCTTATTTTTCAGTCACAAGGTGATCCACCATTTGGTTTTGTGTTTCTTGATTTTGTCTGTCTTTCTTGGCTCCTTGCTTCTAATCTGTGTCATTCATCCTTGCCGGGTGAATCCAGCCTATCACACTCAACCAACCCAACCCATCTGATTTGTTCCCATCCGACGATGCATGCGACCCATGCAACACTATGTAACAATTCACGCTGCATATTATTGATCCCTTTCAATGTTGCACGCATGTGAATCCTCCGGCTCCCACTAAATTCATTTGTTTGATTACCTCCCACTTTGCCAGAAATTGTTGGTTCCCTCATAATTTCATCCTGCACTCTGCAGAAACTCCTCCTAAATAGTCCTACCGATTACTGAACTGCCATTATATCCAGCTTCCGATTAGATTAAATGGCGATTTGGGCACTATAAAACATTGCAATCCTCTCTTCAAGTCCCTCCAACTCCACAATTCCTTGCACAAAGTTATGGTCATGAGATGCGATTTGGGCACTATAAACCACTGCAATCCTCTCTTCAAGTCCCTCCATTAACTCCATAATTCCTTGCACAAAGTGATGGTGTTAACAACAAAATTTGGCAAGCCCGAAGTCATCATCGGCCTAGAGTCAGTATCGGCTTCAGAGTCTTGGAATCGGCCGATGGGAGTCATCAAATCGCCTGCAGTTGTGTTCTTGGTGGAGTCAGATCAATTAAAGGAAATTTATCCAGAAGAGTCCGAGTTCAAGGAGGATGCGACATGGCAAGTTATCTATTAATTAGGAATAGTTTGTTAGTTTCCTTTTATCTTTAGGAAAGTGTGTTTAGTGTCCAACAAGGACTTTATGTTTTTCTTTTATCTTTAGAAAAGTTTATTTCTTGTCCGACAAGGACTATTATCTCCCCATGGGTATAAATATGTACACCTAGGGTCATTGTAAAATATCTCTCGATCAATCCAACTACTCTCGGTGTATCGCCCTCTATTCTGAGGTTTTACTTATCAACCGGCGGAATTTGTCACCTGACGCGGGGCTGCATCGGTTCAGTTCGATCTCCGGTGAAGGGGTAAGTCCTACGTTCTACCAGCCCTGGTGAATCTATCGGTTACGTTGGTGTTGTTTAAGGTTGCATCGCTTCGATCTCTTGGATCGCTCTGGTTTGGTTGATACATTTGCTTACCAAATATCTCAATTCTATCTCTAGTTGCATTGTGTTTAGAGACGCATCAGTTTAGTTGGGATTGTCTCGGTTAGGTCCGACCTTCTGCCTTAGCCGATATATCTCTACAATCACAATGCTGTTATAAATAGATTTGTTATATCCATCACATTAGATAGATCTATCAGCTCATCGAGTATTAGATTATCATATACAATCTCGTGCTGCAACGGTTAGGTTCGACCTACTATATTGTTGTTGATAATATAAGTCTTGTTAAGCCGATAGGTTCATGCTAATGTTTTCTTGGGGTGCTAGCCGATAAGTTATCTAGACGTTGCATCGGCTTATAAGGATAGCATATACATATAAGTTGGATTTAGCCGATGACAACAGAGGTTTCATTGGTCTATCTAATCTTGTGGATTTTATGACATCGGACCTCCAACTGATGTATGCTTTAACCTTCGGATCAGTGCTTATTCTATCATATCATTGCTAGCCAATTGGTTTCTACTGGATTATATTATTGTTATACTATACTATCATCAGCCGATTGCTTAAATCCTATCGCTATCGGCTGGTATCGGCATCGGCTATTGGCTGGAATTACCTCATCGGCTTGTTAGACGATCGGCTATTTGATCTACTATTTACATATCTTGTCAGTTGCAGGATCAAGACTAGCACGCCCGCATCTCACCAAACTTTGGACCTGCACTAGAGCTAAGCAGATCTCCCAGGCCAGTGTGTGTTTTTCGCATCAACAGATGGTCACGAGATGCCCGATCTTCCATCAAGTGAAGATAACTATCAATTTGGTGAAAACTTGACACACACGATTTGGCTTCCGATCAACACGATCTAAACCCTGAAATCGCAGCACCACGTCTCCGAAATCCCGATTGACCTCACTGAGAAGGATAATCCCTGTGTGTGAATCGAAGAACACAAGCAAGAAAAGGAAAGATAGTAACTCAATTGCATGAATGATTAATCAACAACTCGAAGTTGGGGTTATACAAACTAAACTAGGGTCGGTTTTTGCTTGTCCTTTTACTGCCTTGGCCGATTCATACCTTAAATCAAACCTAGGCAAAGCAAAAATCCATTTCCCAACCCTTCCCTTTAGAACATGAGCCGATAGCCAGTAGACCCTTTTTTCGCTCTTGAAATGGATGATCTTGTCAAAAGGCTTCTAGTTGATAAAGCCCTTGGCCTAGATGGTTTTAATGGTTGTTTTATAAAAAATTGCTGGCCAATTATAGCCTAATATTTTTACAGATTGGCTGCTCATTTCCACGCTAAGTTGGTAGAACTTCAGTGCATCAATTCTTCTTATATTACTCTTATGCCAAAGAAGGTTAACCCAGAACATGTTAATGATTTTAGGCCAATTTCTCTTATGAGTATCAGCCTAAAATTTTTGACTATGTTAATGGCTGATAGGCTTCAAGGAGTAATTAAGAAAATTGTGCATGAAAATCAATATGGTTTTATTAAAGGGAGGACAATTCAAGACAGCTTAGCGTGATCTTTTGAGTATACTAGATGATACTCCACGCGTTGCTACGGAAATTTGTGCATATTGAAAACGTAAAATAATTGATAGTGAGCAAATAATTAAAGAAATGATGATTTTCATCAAGAATGGAATTGATTATCAGGTTCCTTTCGCTCTTAAATATTTCCATCGATCTGCTTCTAAAATTTTAGTATAAGTACAATGGGACTGATCAAATACCAAGCATCTTTTGAAGTTGCAGTCTAGATCAACTGTAGATCAACAGATTGTATTCAACTGTAGCAAATCGTAAGTATCTAGTTAACTTCTTAGCAAAAGGTGATGTAATTCAATGATCGAACCCATTTGAAAATCCATTTTGCCACAAACAACAGGACTACACACCATCAGGTGAATTACCTAGCAAAGAGAAATTAGACCTTTTTGATAAACTAAAGAAATATGCAACCATTGATGCATGGAACTATGGAAGCAATAGGGAGGAGGATCCACACAACACAGATAGTTCATATGCGAATGCTTCATAAGATACTCAAGTACAGGAATACTACCTTTGTGAAGGGATGCATAATAAGATATAAAATAGAGAATATAAAAAGCTCCTTAATATAAGTTCTGAATTGGTTAACAATCACATACCTGTGCACTATTGCACTGTTCACTCTTCCTTTGTTCTCGATCAATTCAGTTGATATCATCGCGCCATTAGAATAAAAAGAACTGATGGTTAAAAAATGGGCAAAAATAGAGTAAGGACAACATAATTCTCATTAGTCACAAACAAATGAAGTAGGAAGATTAAGAACCAGGTATAATAATCTTCATTGCCATGAGGGAAAAGATGTGCTGGAGAATTGATTGAAAGAAAAAGGGGAGGCTGATCTTTCTTGATTCACCAAGGATGTAGAAGGTCGCTTCAAGCATTGACGAAAAATTAAACCTCCGTAGACTGTTTGTCATCTGTTTCTGCAAAAAAGCAGAAAATAGAAGTTGGGCCACCCACCGATCGATTAAAACAAAGAATGAGTAAGTTAAAAAAAATTAAAAATTCACTACCTGGATCGAGACGATAAAGGAACTTCTGTTGAAAGGCTAGCACATATTGACGTGATTTGACGATGAAGCTGCCGAAATTTCCAACAGATTCAGCAGTTGTTGAGGTGGGGAGCTGTCAATTTCAACCAAAGATCCAAAAAAAAAAAAGTCGATCGCAAACAGCCCAACTGCAAGGCTACCATTGAGGAAGCTCTAAACAGTTGTGGTGTTGATTAAAAAGCATGATAATCTTTCTCCAAAAAAAAAAAGCATGATGATGGGCTTGATTGCTGCTATTAAGGTGACCTAGCTTTTCAGTTCCTGTGCTTGCTTCGGCTTGTTTTTGTAGCATGCAAACACCGAGCATGTCAACAGTCAAGAACCTGGGAAGCCGCTTTAATTTTTCGGCTTTCCCAGTCCCGGCGGAGTGTGGAGCCATGAAGAGACTGAGAGGAAGCAGGGAGCGGAAACGACATAGGTGTTAGTGGGCGGTGGTCGTTTCGCTTCTCTCGGATGTGGATTCGGAACGGCGCAGGAGAAGGAGAGTCAGCCATCGCTAGGGGCAGAGTGGGTCGCAGGGGGGCAGGCGAGCGCAATGCGGCACGACGCCGCAGCGCTTGTCCCCACGGCGTCCAGCGAAATGCTGCACGGGAGGCGGATGGTGCGGTGGGGAGCGAGTGCGATGTAGGGAGGCAGGCGAGCGCGATGCAGCGCGGCGCCGCAGCGCCTGTCCCCACGGCGCGCAGTGAGAGGGATGCGGTGGGGGAGGCGGAGCGAGATGCGGGAGAGGAAGCCGATGCGGGCGCTCGTGCAAGAGAGGAGCGATGCGGTGGGGAGCAATCCGGTGGGGTGTGGAGCCGGCGGAGCGAGATGCGCGATGTGGTGGGGAGCGATGCAATGGGCCCGGCGGAGCGAGATGCGGGACGGTGCGGATGCAGGATGCGGTGTCGATTGAACGGTTATGGAAAAACTGATGACGTGGAAGCACTAGAAGCAGAAAATTCCAGGTAGTGGGGATGATAAAATTCCAGGTAGTGGGGATGATTTTGAAAGACCAAGAACAGCTATAGAGAGGGGGTGAATATAGCAATTCAAATCTTGCCCCCGAAAATACTCATCAAGCCGGATTTCTTAAAATCCTTACTAGAACCGCGGCTATTAGAGAAGCCGGATCTAGAAAAGGAGAAAGAAATTCCCAAAACTAGAAGAGAAAGAGAAAAGGAATTTCCCAAACTAGAAGAGAGGTGAGGAGGAGATAACAAAACTCATCATCGCAAAGTTCAAATTACAAGCAGAATTTAAATTGCGGAATTTAAATGAACAAGGCAAAAACGAAATCATTCAAATCATTTCATTCATAGGTGATGCAAAATAACCGCTCAACTAGGAGCAACATACACCTTCAGAGGAACATTAACACAAACTTAAAATCTCTCGGATAAACACACTCCAAACTAATCCTAATACAAAAGCCTCTCAGGCAAACACACTCCAAACTCACACCGAAACTCTCTCACCGAGCATCTCAAAAGGATTACAAAAGGAGCGACATCCACCGTTGCATCCATCTCTCTATTTATAGCCTAAAGACTCATAAGACATTGTCTCAAATACCCCTAGGGCGAAACCCTAACTCAGAACAGATCTGGTCCATCCATTGTTCCTTCTACTCAAAGGAAAAGCTCGAGATGATTGCCACCTCATCGATCCGAACCCTCACATGCTCTTCTTGTTGTTGGATCCGCGTGCTCCCCATTTGCACCAACGGGAGGGCGCCACGTTGCCCAGCCACGCCGCGCGCATCTGATTTCCTTTTTCTCAGTGCGCGCGCTCACCCGCGTCCAGTCCGGAGTCGCCACGCGTCTCGCCGAGCGCTCCGCGCGTGCTCCAGCCTAGCGGGCCTACCTGCCAGCGAGCGAAGCCACCGCTCCCGCGCGGCCGCGCGCGCTTGCCAAAACTGCGTGGGTCCCGCGCCATGCCGCGTCTCACACCTTTCCTGCCGATGCCGTGGTCCGTCGAACGGGAGGCCGCCACGTTGCTCGTACGGCTCCCGCCGCACGCATACCTTGGACTTGCTTGCCTTGTCTTCATGGGCCCGTCGCCGTGGGCTGTCTCCATCTTGGGCCAGTTAGGACCGGCCATGTGGCCTCCTGCTGACCGAGCTCCCGAGCTGGAAGGCCGGCTTGCCTCGATGCAGTGGCCCGTCGTCTTGGGCTGCTCGGCTTGGCCTCCCTGCCAGCCGGGCCATCCACTATCTTGGGCCACGTGGAAAGGTTAGATTGGCCTCCCTGCCAATCAACCCCAACTGTCCACATGTCATGTACACACATGCACAGCTCGCATGCTAGCTTACTGCTCCTGATGACCAAGTCTTCCAACCAAGTGCATGCACGTGGACTTTCCTCATTGGCAGCATACTACAGTACCACGTGTACTGTAGCACTGCTTGCTCCTTTCCTCCGTCGGCTTTCTTCGCGAATCCTGGTGCTTGCACTTGACCTTGCGAAGCCCGTTGCAAAGACCTCACACGGTGTCTGTCCACCCACCGTGTGCAACCTTGTGTCCAATCTTGTCATCCGGCATCCTTGATCGTTATGGACCTCAACTCCTCCCTGAGTCTAGTCCCGATCCGCCGTTGACCAAGATCGACCCCGATCACCTGCACACACATGAACCAAACAACCGTTGTCTTGGCACAGATGTCGCAATCTGACCAATGTTAGTCTATGCATACACTTCTTGCACTTCCGGTACTTGTCAATTTCCCATCACAAAAGAATTATAACCACACATGGTTTCACAGATTTGTATAGGTATATAGGATTCATCAATTTCAGCAATCCAAAAGGGAAATCTTGATTCTCACATTGGACTTTGAAAAAGCTTGATACAATTGAACATTCGACCATTTTGAAAATCATTGGACTTTGAAAAAGCTTTTTGATACAATTGAACATTCGACCATTTTGAAAATAATGAAACATACGGGCTTCCTTGCAAAATGGTTGAATTGGGTTAAGATGGTGTTTGAATCAACAAGTTCTTCTATCTTGCTAAATGGTGTTCCTGGAAAATTTTGTAGGTGTAAAAGAGGGGTTAGACAGGGTGACCCTCTTTCTCCCTTGCTTTTTGTGATTGGTGCTGAACTTTCTTCAAGATGTTTTAAATAAAGCTATGAGTCTTGGTTTGTTATCTAAGCCTATAAATGATCAAGATGGAGGAGATTTTCCTGTAGTTCAGTATGCTGATGATATTCTCATCTTCTTAAAGGCTTCACAGAGAGAATTGTTGTCTTAAGGCCCTTTTGCACATATTTACTCAAGACACTAGTTTGAAAATTAACTATCATAAGTCTAATATCTATCCGTTGAATGTCCCTGAGGAGAAATTGAAAAATCTGGCTCTGTTGTTGGGATGTAAAGTGGGTTCTATGCCCTTCACTTGTCTAGGCTTGCCAATGAGTACTACAAGGCCAAGAGTGATTGATATGACACCAATGGTAGATAGAGTAGAAAGGAGACTGATAGCTAGTGCTTATTTTCTTCCCTATGGAGGCAGGTTAACTTTGATAAATTCTGTTTTGTCCACCATTCCAACCTATTACATGTGCTCCCTTAAGTTGCCAAAAACTATTATTGAAGCCATTGACACATCAAGAAGAAATTTCCTTTGGAGAGGTTCCAATGTTTTTGTAAAAAGAAAATCTTCGGTTGCCTATGATAAAGTTTGTAGACCCAAGGACAAGGGTGGTCTATGTGTTTTAAATCTGTATATTCAGAATGTGGCTTTGCTACTGAAGCATTTGCATAAATTCTACACTGCACAAGACCTTCCTTGGGTTAGACTTATTTGGGCTTCTTACTACACAACAAAAGTTCCTCATATGATTTTGAATAAATGGTCTTTTTGGTGGAGAGACATTATTCTGTTGGCTTTATATTTATAGAGCTGTTTCCCAATGTACAATTCAGTATGGCACCTCAGTCTTGTTTTGGGATGATCTCTGGAATGGTGAGATTAAGATATTGAAGTATCCTGATCTTTTTTTCCTAAACTACTGTGAGATGAGAATCTATGAATCACTTCTCAAATATTCAACTTGAAGATTGTTTTAATTCTCCCGCTAGATGATCAGGCTTATGGACAGTTTCTTTAGTTGCAATCTGATTTAGACATTTTGCCTCTCAGTTCAGAAAAGGGAGATTTTTAGACCTTCATCTGGAATTACATATCTACTTTGCTCAAAGTTTTATAGATCTAATTTTGTGGGAATCTATGTTCCAAGGCCTTTTATCTGGATCTGGAAGAGTAAATGTGTGAAAAAAATTAAGGTTTTTATGTGGTTACTTTCGTGGGACAGGCTCAATACTAGGGACATGTTGGATAGGAGGCATTGTGGCCCTGAAGATGCAATTCTAAACTGTGGAATTTGTGGGTGTCCTATAGAGACACCGATTCACCTTTTCATCTCTTGCCCTTTTAGTAAGTTGTGCTGGGAGCGCCTGGTATAAGATGGAATCCAAACTTGGAAATTTGCCAAATGCTGGTTTTGGCTCGAATTTTGTTCAGAAGAAAAGGTTTTTTGGAGATTGTTTGCTTTGCTTGATGGTCATTTGGAAGCAACAAAATGGCCATGTTTTTGACAATGTTCAGCCTGATATTAATAGGTGGTTTGTTGCATTCAGAAATGAAATTATTCTGCATATCTACAGAATGAGTCGATATACCAAATGCACAGTTAGTTGGATTTATCTTTAAACCATATTTCCTTGTCCTCTCCAACACCTGGCGTAAATTGTCTAGATGTCCATCAACTTCTTTTGACTTCACAACCACATCATCAACATAAATTTCAACCAATAAACCGATGAGATCATGAAATATATAATTCATTGCTCGTTCATATGTAGCACCAACACTCTTCAAGCCAAAAGTCATCACAACCCACTCATATAAGTCGATTGCACCAAAACACCTGAAAATAGTCTTATGGATGTCCTCTTCGGCCATAAAAATCTGATTATATCATGCATTGCCATCCAGAAAGCTTATGATCTTATGCCCAGAGGCTCCATCAACTAGTAAATCTGCAATCAGCATGGGGTATTCATCCCTAGGAGTAACCCTATTCAAATATCTAAAATCTACACATGCTTTAAGTTTTCCATTCCTCTTGATCACTGGTACTATATTTGAAACCCACTCAGCATATCGGCATGGTCTGATGAATTTTGCATCATAAAGTCTAGTTATCTCAGCATTGATATCATCGTACATCTCAGGTTTGAATCGTCTTGGAGCCTATTTGAATGGCTGATATCCTGGTTTTATAGGGAGCCGATGTTCAACACTAGATCGGCTAAGTCCTGGCATCTCATAGTATTCCCTACCAAAACAATCTCTGTATTTTTTCAATAATTTCACTAACTTCATTTTAAATACATCCGATAAATTTGCACTAACAAATGTCGGCCTAGGCCTATCACTTGGTCCAATATCAACTTCTTCTAATTCATCGGCTGACACAAATCCTTGGCCTAATTTTAGCAACTTAAGATAAGATACTCTACCTTATGTATTGTTAAGGTTAGTTTGATACTAGAGTGTTATATTAAACACTGTAAAGCTATTTTCGGAACTACCTCAGGCTTACAATCTACTAAATGGTAAGAACATTACTTTAAAGAAATCATATTAATTTATTTTTTCATATTTTAAGCTAATATTTAATTAATCACACACTAATGAGCCATCCCATTCCCTTGTAGGAGAGGATAGGTTTCAAACATTCTGGTTGGAATGCAGCCTAAAGATTAATTCTTAAATAGATTCATAGAATGAATTTGTTGGTGAGAGTGATGATATTTATTTAGTACTCCATCTGTTTCATATTATAATATGTTTTGACTGGGTTTACATAAAAATATACTGATATTTTCAATACAAAACAAACATATTATCAAAATATATGAAATGTTAAATTTAATAAAATAATTTGCTGCTGTGGAAGTGGTTAACTTTTTTATAAACATGATCAACGTTAAAAAAGATTTGAAAAGTCAAAATCTATACCTAATTAAAAAAATACTCAAGGCTTCCAATCGTCCGCTTCGTCCGTCGTCATCATTTGAGTCCGAGTCCGTTCTAATAAAATCCCCAAGCAGATAAGCGGATTGGTCCCAACCCCTTTGCCCCCAATTCCCAAAATACATGAATCACAAAATCACTCAATTGTAATCCCAAATCAAAATCAAGAATCCCCACAAAATTAACATCCCAAATCAACACACCACACTGGAGAAGGAAGTAGCCGCCGCTGCCGGATCTGTCCTCGGCCACCACCACTGTGGCCGCTGCCAATGTCGCCATCACCAGATCCGTCGCGGGAGGTAGGCGAGAGAGAGAGAGAGGGGGAGGGGAAGGACGGTCATCACCGCCGTCTCCGCATCGTACCCCCGCCATCGCTGCACCACGTCGAGCCCTCACTGTTGCCACGTCGAGCCAGCGAAACGGGAGGGAGATAGGGAGATGGAGCGACGCCGGTGGGGGGAGGGGGAGGGTGCTGCCGATGAGGGGAGGGGGAGAGGCGCCGTCGGTAGGGAAGAAGGAGAGGCGCCGCCGGGGTAGGGGGAGGGGGAGCGGCGGAGGGTGGAGCCGCCGCTACCGTCGTTGTTTTGAGAGAGAGAGGGGGAGGGGAAATGATTTTAGGGTTATGGTTTGGGCTGCCGAATATTTATATAGGTCGGGATCAATTGGAACCGTCCATCAGATCGAACGGTTTTGGCTTCTCCCACGACGGGCCATGTGCCGTTCCCAGGCCATGTGGTCGCCTCATGGGCTGCATGTACACACATAAGAAGGCCGTAAGTTTGGGCCGGGCTAAAATCAATTTTTTTCTCTCTCAGTGATTTTAGGTATTTTCTATTTTCAGAAATAGAATTAGTATCACTTTAATTGCTTATGACTGCTTATTAATTTAACTCTATCTAAATTGAACCAACTAGAAATTTGGCTAATGTTTCTCATGATATGTATTTTTTTTGACCAACATTGATTATAAATTCATATAAATTTTATTTATATTCATGTTTCTTAATTATTTATGCCCAGCAGTGACATAATTCATGAATTATTTCTGTTTAACTATGTAATTAATTGAGCCAACACAAATTAATTATTTTCATTCATCCACATGTTTCGTGTTTTACGTGTTGCATAAAAGATTTTTAAACACCTGATTAACGACACTAACCCACACGCCCTTCGTCCCTACACTCACGATGTGTTCATTGTGTATACCGGCGAAAGGGAAAAACATCAGGGATTAGAGATTGAATCAAATCCTAATCGCGTACAGCGGACAAACCACAAAATCAAATATTGATTAAAAACCCAATCGCAACAAATACCATCCGAAGTCTGTATCAAATAAAAAAATATTAAACCAAAGTAGGAAGAAGTATAATATATAGCGATCCAAAACGTTTTTACATGTTGTAACATACGGGCCATTTTTTCTAGTGACGTATATAATATAAAATGGAGAGAGTAAGCATAGTAACAAAATAATATTTAGAGAAACTCTTTGAATTTCCGAAAACAACTCACAAGTCACAACGGAGAAAGCAACGAATTATAGTAGTTGAAATCCGATGGAGCGTTTGATTTATGTTGTGGTATGTATCAGTACACGAACTCTGCGGTATATCGCCGTCTTCCCCCAAACCCCAGAGGCGAAGCGACTCCCCGAGACCAACCGAGACACGCGATTCCTCCTCCCCTCTCCTCTCCCGCAGACGCGAGAACCCCCCAACTACAAGTCGAAGTCGAAGCAACAACCCTCGCGCCCGCATCCCCACCGGCGATGGCGTCCCCGTCCCCGGCGGCGCGGCCGCAGCGGACGCCCGACGAGGTGGAGGACATCATCACGCGCAAGATCCTCCTCGTCTCCCTCACCCCGCCCTCCACGCCCAACCCGGCCGTCGCCTACCTCGAGCTCACCGCCGCCGAGCTCCTCTCCGAGTCGCGCCCGCTCCTCGCCCTCCGCGACGCCTCCGAGCGCCTCCTCATCGACCGCCTCTCCCTCCCGGACCAGCCCGCCGGGTCCCCCTCCCCCTTCGCCTACCTCGTCTCCTCCTTCCGCCGCGCCGCCGACGAGGCCCGCAAGATCTCCACCATCCGCGACGCCGCCCTCCGCGCGCGCCTCGCCGCCTCCATCGCGCACCTCCGCGGCCTCATCCTCTCCTACGCCCGCATCGTCGCCGGGAACCCCGACACCTTCCCTTCGCCGCACAACGCGCCCCACCCCGCCGCCGAGCTGCTCGTCTTCCACCTGGCCGAGGCCGCCGACCCGCTCGACCCTACCCCGGCCCCTGGTGCCCCGCCGCCGCCGGGGTTCCTCGACGAATTCTTCGCCAACGCCGATTACGAGACCGTCGAGCCGGCCATGGGCGAGCTCTACGGCCGCCTCAGGCAAAGCGTCGAGAAGGTGTCGGCGCTTGGCGACTTCCAGAAGCCGCTGCGGGTGCTCAGGCGGCTGGTGGGAATCCCTAACTGCGCAAAGGCTCTGGTGAATCACCCCAGGTGGATACCGAAGAATCAAATTATGCTCATTGGGGAAGGGAGAATCATGGAGATCTCCAGTGTGCTCGGGGCGTTCTTCCATGTCAGTGCGATCCCTGACCGCGAGTTTGCAAGCAAGCCTGATATTGGGTAAGTTTTTTTTGTTGAATGTTGATTGATTGCTGCAAGTATGTTCTTATCTAATGTTTGCTGAGGTGTCGAAAGCTTTGCATTTGCGGGATGTTCTTGTGAGCCATTCTGGCTTTGATTATAAATGTTGGTGCTTATATTAACTTTGTGACTGTAAAAAACCTTTCCTTCATAAGTCTGTTGAGTCAGTCAAGCTGGTTGATATTCTCTTGAATGGTTGGATGTAAAAAGGTTCAAAGTTTGATTGTCACCTTAATTGATGCTTCCTACCTGTTAGATCCAATGGTAAATTTTCAAGTGTTCCTTTTCCAAACTCAACCTATTTGGAGTTCAATTCTTTATAAAGATGTGAACAAATATTGCATCCAAAAGTAGTTCTTTTGGAGGTGTGCTGAACTTGTGGAGTAACTTTTTTCTGGATTCCTCTTTGTTATCATCAAAACCATGTAACGTGAAGGTTTGTGTGTATTTTAATTTGTGTGCTACAGGCCCAAATATTTCTTAATGAATCCCAATGAACGTTTACGGTTTAGTTTATTTACAAAATTTTAATCTACTGCATTGCTATGCCTATAAATTCAAGCTTATTGTTTCATTTTTTATGCATACCCTTAACCTTGTTAATTTAATGTTTGATCAGGCAACATTGCTTCTCAGAGGCATCTTCACGCAGACCAGCTGATTTGATGTCATCTTTTACAACAATCAAAAGCGTTATGAATAACTTGTATGATGGCCTTAAGGATGTTCTTCTTGCGCTGCTAAAAAATATGGATACTCGAGAAAAGGTTCTCGAGTTTATTGCTGAAGTGATAAATAAAAATGCAGGCAGATCTCGTATGCAGGTAACTGGCAATTCAACTGGACATAACCATCCATAATGAGTTATCCATCAGATAGGTTTCCATACCTTGCATCAGATTTTTTGTTTAGATCACATTTGTAGGTACAAATCAAATACAATCTACGAGATTCATTCAATAGTAGTGTATCAAATTGTTTCATGCCCTAGAAGAAACCTGAGCACGGACAACAACAAACCTCTGTATTCCCAGTACATGCTAGATAAGTGCTGAGCATGTAGTAGTGTCTTTAATGTATCACACACATGGAACACTGCCTAATGGCAGTTTTGTTACAACTTAAAAATCAGAAAATACTATACATATTTCGGGATTGAATCTTTGTAACGTGGAACTGCCTTAAAGGGGTGCAATCCTTGGCATGCTATATTGCTATCTATATGGTCTAGTAGCTTGTATTGCAGTAACCAACTGTTCTTGAAACAATATAATTTTTTTTTAAATCCTTGTTATTGTTATTCTGTGCTGGACTAAATTCACGTTGTGTCATGCAACAGGTAGACCCTTTAAAGAGTGCCAGCTCAGGTATGTTTGTGAATCTCAGTGCCGTGATGCTACGTCTATGTGAGCCTTTTCTGGATAGGATGGAGTCTAAGAAGGACAAGATTGATGTCAATTACCTCTTCTGCAACGATAGAATTGATTTCAAGTGGGTTACTTCTCTAAGAAATTTGGTATTAATGTTCTGTGCAAAGTTAGTATAATGCATATTTTAAGTTATTTTAGTAAATAATATGTTACTCTTTGTACTGCAGGAATTTGACTGCAATAAATGCTTCTTCCGAGGAAGTATCATCTTGGATAGAGAACAGGGGCTATGAGCATGCTGAAGATAGTGCCAGTGGAGAGGCTCGCTTTGTTGAATCACAAGAAGCGACAAGCTCTGGCAACAATAGCACAGTTTCTCTTTCTTCTAAAGGCGGGTCACTTGTGAATTGCTCAAAGAAAGAGAATTTCTCATTTATTTGTGAATGCTTCTTCATGACTGCAAGGGTGCTCAATCTGGGGCTGATGAAAGCTCTATCGGATTTCAAACATATTGCTCAGGTCTTGATATATTTGAAGCATCCTTTTCTTTTGTTTTTGTATTATGTTTCGAAGTTTTGCATTTTGATAGAATCTATGCATATTGATAATTAATCTGTAGGAACGCTTTGTAGCACATACAGGCCAAATGAAAACAATATTTTCAGATCAAAGCATGCATTCTTGAATTTTTCACTGAACACCTGTTATTGTTTTTATCAAATATTTAGGATCTCGCAAGGTGCCAAGATGACTTGGATTCAAACAGAGCAATGAGAGATCAAGGAGGTGGTTCAGCACAGCTTGATCAAGATATAAAACGCTTAGAGAAGATAGTTGAGATTTTATCACAGGACAAACTCTGTTATGAAGCTCAGATAATTAGGGTATGCTCTATATAATCTGGTCCCTTTTTGTTCCCTGTCAACTTCTATCTTATTACTGCCTTATAAAATGAAAAAGAAAACAATTCACCTTATTACTAGTGCAAATCTTCTTTGAAGAAAATGTGAGGTACATAGGATGATGTGACCAGTTGTAGTGAATCCTTTGTTTTTATAGAACGTATGTTGGGCATGTTAAGTTCTCTTGAACTATTGCAAGATAGTACGTTTTATTTTATTTATTTCGTTGTGGACCTCTGTGGATCACAAATGGCATGATAATCACAATTTGATTATTCTCATTTTTTTATTTTGATTTTGCTATTATGTAAAAGAAAAAACTCTACTTTGTTCTTTTGGGCATCATATAATATCATATATCCCGGCAGGACATAGTGTGCTCCTATGCATTAAGGATGAGTCTGTTGTCTTCCAGTAAACATTTCATATAACATCTTGGATTAAATTTTGTTTCATGTCAGAGGTCTTGGATACTGTTCTAGATGGTCTGATTATATGAAATGCCTCCAATTCCTTTTTTCTTTTTGCATTAACTACTGCCTTCCTTTAAAAGCAACACTAACAGTTTGTCTTTAACCAGGATGGTGCATTTCTTCAACGTGCACTATCTTTCTACAGATTAATGATACTATGGTCAGTAGACCTTGTTGGCGGATTTAAGATGCCTTTGCCATCACAATGTCCAAAGGAATTTGCTTGCATTCCAGAGCATTTCCTCGATGATGCAATGGATTTACTAGTTCTAACCTCTAGAATTCCAAAAGCTTTGGAAAGCTTTGCGTTGGTGAGTATGCTTCTGAGCCATTCCACAGTAGTAGTGGTGCCTGATTTTGTGATTGGCAGAGCTTAGTTGTGTACTTATGAATTTGCTCCTAATCATCCTGTTTCTGACAGGATGACTTTCTCAACTTCATCATTATGTTCATGGCGGGCACTTCATACATTAAAAATCCTTACCTTAGAGCAAAGATGGTTGAAGTTTTGAATTGCTGGATGCCACAAAGAAGGTCCATATTTTTTTATGAACTTCACAATTGTATCTTATTTTTGACTGTATGGCTGCGCATTTGAAAATTTTTATGATGTCATTGGTGCAGTGGGTTGAGTTCTACAGCCTCATTATTTGAGGGGCACCAACTATGTCTCGATTACCTGGTCAAAAATCTTCTAAAGCTTTATGTGGATATTGAATTCACTGGTTCCCATACACAAGTGAGTGTCAAGATATTTTTTTTTTTAATATTTCACTATTTTGGGTTTTGGTGAAATCATCTAAGTTTAGTGTTATGACATATCTTTGCATTTTGTACAGTTCTTTGACAAGTTTAACATTCGACATAATATTGCTGAGCTTCTAGAGTATCTATGGGATGTCCCCAGTCATCGGAATGCATGGAGACGAGTAAGCAATTTATCCTCGTACATGCATTTGTATTGCACTTTCTTGTGACTGAAAATATTTCCCACCTTTTCATATGACAGATAGCTAAAGAGGAGGAGAAGGGCGTATATTTAAATTTTTTGAACTTCCTTATCAATGATAGCATCTATCTTCTTGATGAGAGTTTGAACAAAATCCTCGAACTGAAAGAAATAGAGGCTGAAATGGCTAATGTTGTAGAGTGGGAAAGCAGGCCACCTCAAGAAAGAGAGGAGAGATTGCGTGTATTTCATCAGTGGGAGAATGTTAGTTTTCTTTACTAGCGTTTACCTGTCCTGTGTCGCATGATATTTTTAATGAAGTTTATTTGATGGTAGTTACTGATCCACTTTATATTTTTAGGTTGTTCGATTTGACATGAAGCTAGCAAATGAGGATGTTGGGATGCTTGCTTTCACGTCAGAGCAGATTCCAGCACCTTTCCTCCTTCCTGAAATGGTAATATCATAAACCATATATTTAATTTCCATAAATATATAAAACTAAGTTTAATTTTATTTTATTACTAACAAAGCTTCAACTCTACACGGACTTAATTACATATTTTACTTGTCTACTGTATTTTATGCCTGTAAGATATTACTTGTAAAATCTGAAGGAACCAAATTATTAAAACTATCTCCTTCATGTAGTATGAAAGGGCATTGTACTAACAAGGAGTCCTTTATTTAGGTGGAAAGGGTGGCAAGCATGCTAAATTACTTCCTCTTGCAACTTGCTGGTCCTCAGAGGAAATCATTGACTGTAAAAGATCCTGAAAAGTATGAGTTCAAGCCGAAGCAGCTCTTGAAACAGGTCTCATGGAGATATATAACTTTTCTGTACTTCAGTGCTCTTCTGTTACTATTAGCTCTTTTTCATCTTCATTTCTGTCTTTACATGGTAGATTGCCACCATCTATGTCCATATCACAAGGGGTGATAAAGAAGGTATATTCCCAGCAGCCATCTCAAAAGATGGAAGATCATACAATGAGCAGGTCTGTTCTCCTTTGTTTTCTCCCATTAGTTTTTAGTCTCTGTGCTTGTATTCTAATAATTTTCTATCTATCGCAGTTGTTTGCAAGTGCAGCAAATATTTTGTGGAAGATTGGGGGAGACCCCCAAATCATACAGGAGTTTATGCAACTTGCCAGTAAGTCAAAAACTGCTGCTTCTGAGGCAATGGATGCTGAGGCTATGCTTGGTGACATACCAGATGAATTTCTTGATCCAATTCAGGTATTGTTTGCCTTATTACGAAAATACCTTTACTCTCTTCTATGCAATCAAAGGTTTTCCTATGTTGAAAACTAGAATAGGATGAAGCATATCTGGTAGAATGGTAGTGATGCAGTTGATTGTTCTGTTTTGGTGATTAATCGATATTTGGCTATACCAAATATCTGGTCATCAAATTGGTTACTCATGAATTGGGCAATTGTTGGCAATCAAATGAACCAGTGATTTCCTGATGATAAAAGCATCACACAAAAATTTGGGAATAAAATCTTGTTAAAATTAGCAAAATCTGGGAAGGCAACCTTTGACAGTATAAGTCCAAACAATTACATTCCCATTCTAAGCCAATAAAGGAAAATTTTTCAGCCATTTTATGAACAATCTTGTGGGGCTTGAACAAACCATACTTTACCACAACTATTCTGAACTTGGAACTCATGGTGGTATATTTTGGCTATTAAATATTCTGTGCATTTTAACCTGTAGCATCAGATATTTGCTACTAATGTTATATGATGTATGCTCTTTCTCTTGCAGTATACTCTGATGAAGGATCCTGTAATACTACCATCATCACGGGTGACAATAGATCGTCCCGTTATTGTTAGGCACTTGCTAAGTGACAGTGTAAGTTGTACATCCTGAAAAAACCGCTGATCCAAACTTTCCATACTAGGGGGTGACACTTGTCTGATGTATATATTCCCTTTACAGACTGATCCGTTCAACCGTTCTCACCTTACGCAAGACATGTTGATACCGGATACAGAGCTCAAGTCGCGCATCGAAGAGTTTATCAGGTCTCAACGGTCCAAAAAACGAACTGCTGCCGATTCAGAAATGGGAGAACCTGATGGGGCTGCTGATATGGCTGATTGAATAGATGGTGCCAGGGAAGGGAAGGATGAACATTTTTTTTGTGGGACAGATGATCTTTATGATATTTATCGTTCTGATGCTGGCTCCCCTGCATTTGCATATTCAAATTCTTTGTAAATGGTGTTACTGCCTGTTGAGAATTTAATTATATCGGCATCGGATGTTCACTTGGTAAGCAACTCCTTCGTTCTCGTGTAAAAATTTGATCGTTTAACGACTCGTGAGGCTCATCCTTGATTAAGTACTAATCGACCAAAGCTACAGTGAGATGACAAAAGTTGGATGAACCTAGCAATGGCTGACAACATAGAACTGTTCGCATTATTTTACACACCTTTCAATACAGTGAATGTAGACAACTAGTGTAAATGTAGGATCAGTCTACAATACAGTAGACAAGTTTTAGTGTAAATCTGCGTGAATGGTATACTGGCAGTTTTTTACACCAGTAAAGCAAAATCAAAGGTTCTGTTAGTAAGTTAGCCGACTGTGGAACGGCAACTTAGGTGGCCTAGTTCTTTTCTTTAGCTCCAAAATACAAATTCCTCATTTTTCATGGTTAAATGATTACCTTTTGCAAAAACATTTTTATATAAAAGTTTATTTAGAAAATCAAACAAACCAATTTTAGAGTTTGTAATAATAAATACTCAATTATTCACGTGCTAATAGCTTACTAGTACTAGTTAATTGGGCTTGGAAAAGACGTACAGGTTGTTTAAAATAAAAAAGAAAGGAGCAGCTTTGACTATTCTAGTCCTAAAGTAAAAGAGAGTTTATCCTGGTAATAATCTATACTAATATAAAAAGTACGGCAGTGTTTGGCAAATGTCTAAGGGAAATGATTTACCATCCCTCTTTAAATCTTAACCATTCATTCTCCCTCATCCATTTAATCCTAACCATTCATTCATTTCCCAATCCCAATTCCATTCATTCTCCCTCATCCATTTAATCTTAACCCTTCATTCATTTTCCAATCCCGCCCCTCATTTTCCATTATCCAAACACACCCTACGAGTTCATCCAGCAATCTTGCAATCCTTCAGATCCACTGTCACGTGGAACCCACCTGTCATCCGGCCCAAAGAAACCGCACCTAAACAGCGATCTCCCACGTCTAAGCAGCAGTTATGATCGGTCAAAGCGAAAAAGAAAAGGAATGCTCCCTTTTGTGCGCTAGCCTGCCGCCGCCTCCTCCCGCCGGAGCCGCTGGCCTCCTCCTAGCGCGCGCCAGCCCGCTGCTGCCACCTCCCGCCGGAGCTGCTCGCCTCCTCCTCGCATGCGCTCGGCGGAGGAGCCTCACCCTACCCGCCGCTGCCTGCTTCCCTGTTCGCGCCGCGCCGTGACGAAGAGGAAAGAGAGGCGGGGTCTGCTCGCCCTACCCCGCCTCCTCCTCACGCGCGTGGGCTGGACATCCGGGCGCGGCCGCCAGAAAGGGCATATGAGGTGGCGGAGAGTCTTTCTAGGAGGAGAAGAGGGGGCCATTGAAGGAGGGTTGGAGGTCGCTGCGCATGGCCCGTGGGCGGCGGAGCGATGAGGCCGGGAGGACGTCGGCATCGGCGAGGTTGACTAAGCAAGAGGCAAGCGTCAACAGAGGTGCCGGGGAGGAGCAGGCCGCCGGCGCGGTCGCAGGAGAAGGTGCCGACCGGAGGCAGAGACGAGGACCCCTAGGACCGCACCCGCCCCACCACTGCTGCCATCGTCAGCATCCTATATGATTTTTCATTGTTGTTGTTATCAGGGATGCGCTGGAACGATAGCACAGGACTAGGGCCGCTGGACATCATCGACGCTAGCAGATAAGGACACCAACAACAGGTAAGACTGATGTTCTATATTCATGCTTGCAATATGTTTGATGAAATGCTTAACTAGCACTAGCATCATCTCCTGTTTACAATTTGACAATTTGTATAGATGTCATACTGACCAAATTTCATGTTGATTGTTTATTGCCATTCTTTCTTGATAAAGTACCTAGCTATACCCACCATTCAGAACTTTTAAGTCCTTCATTACTAATGTTTGTATGACTAAATTGCAAATTGAGGTAAATTTTGATTACGTTCTTGCTGGTTTACATTTAGTAGCAAAATTGTGAGGTTGAATGTGCATGATAGGAAGTTTGATGCATTTAGTGTTACGTGTTTTTTAGCAACTCCCTATTGCAGAGAACAAAATAAAACTATCTCACTGGTAGCTTAGCTATTTATGGGCAATTTTCTGGTTTATGTTTCACACTACCCAGAGTTGCAGTATCAACTAAGAGCTATATTTTCCTATCAATAGGTCACTCTTGTCGTCAAACACTTTGATGATCCAAGGATAGTGAGTGCAGACTTGAAAGATCTTCTTCTTCTTCAATCAATATCTGTTCTTGTACAGTACAAAGAATTCATGTTTCTATTTGAGAACAATCGGGGGGCTATAAACAGAATGCTAAGATCACTTCTGTCAGCTTTTGGTAATAGATCATGATACCTATTACCAACATACCTTTTCAACTCTGCAAAGGTTTAGGTTTTGCTTCATCCAAGAATGCTGAATCTTCATCATCTGCAACTTTCCAGGTTTACTTTAATATTACAATCTCTTTTGTAATTATATTCATTCTTCTATTTATGTTATCCTTTCTGAATCGACTTTTCAACACATTAAGTTGGACAATGACTGAGTTCTCCATGTCCATCCATGAGATGCAAGATAAGCACCTGGTGGATTTTTTTTTTGTTTTATATTTCCCTTGGTGCAGAACTTCAACTCTTTGCTGATTAATCTTTAGTACTCGGGTTACATTTTCAGTTTAGTAACTAAACACCATCCTTTTTCACATGTCAAAATGCATGAACTTTATCTTAGCTCTGCAATGAAGGTATACACTAACAGGATCCTTCCTCTTTTTGTTTGGAGAACACTAACGGGATCTCTTGACAAGGATAAATTCCAGTAATTTGGTTGCTTCAGTTAATTGCTTTTTCAATATTTTATCCCAAGGGTGTAGTCATGCATGTGAAGGTAAATAATTGTAACCAATATTTTTCAGGTTGCTGATTTGCAGCAAAGAAAGTGCATCGTTATTTTTTACATATCATGTAGTCTTGCAAGGATCTTGGAATTCTGCGCCAGAGAGATCCCTCATGCGTTACTCATGGGGCCAGATATGAATCTGCGGAGATTGACTGAATTAATTGTATTTATTTTGAACCACATCATATCAGCAACTAATGCAGAGTGGTTTTACATGCAAGTCCACATCTTAATCTGAATTCTGAAGTCTGAAAATTAGCAGTGTTTTAGTTATTTTAAGTTGAGACAGTGATCTTTAAAGGTGGTTCAGTTTAGTGCCAGAATCTAAAACGCACTACTTCTATTGTTGATTTGAGCTGACTCAAGTATGAACCAATATTGTTATATCCTGACATCTTTTTTTTGTTTCACAGTACACCAAGATGCTTCCTCATTTTATCGGTGCCTATGATAATCTTTAATGTATAAGTATATGTCAATGTGCATTAGGAATGATCGTATTTTTCTTCAGTTGTATATGTCGACGTGCCTTGCACGTGCACGTTCACTAGTAGCTAAAATATAAGGGACTTTATTCTTATAATAGTAGCGGAAGTTATGCAAGTAGTTTCATTTGAATCTTACAGTACTGATATCGCAAAACGACACTTTGACGTTGGTCTGGCTAGCGTGATAGCATCATTTGGTCGCATTGGTCTGGCTGGCGTGGCATCACCCTTGACAAACTGTCACGTCCACTATGTGTGGCGTGAGTGACTGAGTGTTGTTTTGCCTGGCATGATCAAAAGGTTTATATTTTGGAAAATGCCAGGCAGTAATTTGTTTAGATTCTAGAAATAAATTTTAGAAGGGTTTATTTTTAAAATAAAAAAGTAAAAAAAGTAAGAAATAAAAAAATCGATATATCCTTCAGATTACACGGAGTATCATTGCACTTACACTTAATGTTAATATTGGTATCAAAATCATTGTCGTTCCATGTGGATGTCATAGGTATATACAAGTAGTTTTCATTTGAATCTTACAGTACTGATATATCCTTAATATTACACGGAGTATCGTTACACTTAATGTTAATATTGGTATCAACGATCATTGTCGTTGCATGTGGATATAGGTATCGTCTGTGTTTCGTCAGGATGTCATGTCTACTTGGTGTTTTGCAAAGGCATCGTGGAGTGTCATTATATATGGCCGGCGCTATTGAATAATGACTATAGACATTTACAGAGGTTCCAGAGTTCCTGTAATAAAAAAAATAGAAATGCAATAAAGGGGAGCAAATTTACCCAAAAAAAAAGAAAATAATTGGAAAAAATATATTAAAAAAATTCTAGATGGGCCTGGCATGTGCCCCTAGGGATACATTGTGGGCAACAGCTGGGTTTCATTTTTTACCTGTGGGTAACCTGTGCCCGACCCGATACATATGTATTAGCTAATTTCGACTTATCTCTTAATTCTTATACCCCTTTCTCTTGGTTCATTTGTGATACTAACTAATAATAAGTTGTGATGTAATTCAAATTATTGTTGATAACTGATAATTTGGTAAATTGTTGATTTTATTTCTCTTTGTTAAATTATATATCTTTCGAGTTATTATTCATATGAGATCCATTTGGTACCCGCCGAGCATACCCGTACCCGTCGGGCATGGGTACGGGCACAGAGTTTTGCCCGCTAACCCTAGTGGGTAGGGTTTGGGCGGGCGACGACGGGCATGGGGTCGGGCATGGTTTTGCTCTACCCGTGCCCGACCCGACCCGTTGCCATCCCTATGTGCCCCCATGACGCCAAAGGGAGGGTGACAGTCCAAACTGGCTCAACCTAGACCAGGCCTTCCCATCTATGTTGACTGGCATTCAAAGTTCCAAACTTCTAATGCGGATCTGGCCATTGCCCTCTAAAATCATTTTAGGGATGAAAACGGATCGGAAATACTGTCCTTTTAGGGATGAAAGTGGGTCGGAAATAGATGAAAACTATCTCTACGATATTTATTTTGGAATCAGAATCGAATTCCTTGGACAAGAAAATGGAATCGAATATATCGAATTCAGATATGGAGCAAATACGAAACAAAACGAATATGGTAATGAATATTACCAGAATATAAAACCCCATCAAATTGAGCTTCCGTACAACAAAAGAGATATGTGTTGTTATTCTCTGTAGGCATGTCACGAAAGTTCATGAAAATTGATTTTCACGGTCGGTCCCTTAACAGACCTGCATGTAAAAATGGTTTTTCATTTCCGAGTCCCTTAATTGTACCCAACACCTCTTCTTCCATATGTAGCTTACTTACCATCTCATCTATCAAGTTATTGTTGTAATATTGAAGATGCTATTTATTTTATTTCACCTCTCTGAAATTTGTAATTTATAATTTTAAATATAAATGTGTTATATCCCATCGAGCTATACAACTTTGATATAGGGCATATCTCCATCAGAGGTCATTTGAATTACAGATATGAGATTTTGTAGTGAATATTTAGACCTAAATTATCTCAAATGATAAGGTTGTCAACAAAGAAGTTGTACATCTTGTCGAGCTCTATAATTTTAATATAAAGTTAGTCTCCATATGACTTATATGATATATACATAACTTTATCATGTGAAGTTAGTCTCCATACCTACATGTTTTGTTTTAATATTGATCTCTACCCGTGGATATCCGAAAAAAACTTAGGTAATATCCGACCTTTTCCGATTTCTAGCAGATACTAGTCTTATACTATATTTGTTTATGTTTCCCAAAAAAATCTATTAATATTTGTTTCTGTATCCGCTACTATCCGAAATTATTAGTTTCAGAAAATCTGTCCAAATATCGGAAACTAACTAAACCGATTTCATCCCTATCTTTTCCAGTGATTGCTTCTCGGTTCAATATAATCTAGTTATGAAAAATTATGTAGGCGATTATCCTCTTATCGCTCGATAGATCTGAAAGTGCATCTGGACCCCTAATTATTTTGGTGGTTAATGACAATTGATTAAGAAGGCCTCCATCTACTAGCCCCTAAAGTGGTCCTTTGGAACAGTTCAAAGAGCAAAAGAAAATGAGGGGTTTTCCCACACCCAACCCGTGAGAGCCCTGGATGGACAAACCAACACTGATATTTTTTTTAATATGGTGGAATAAAAATTCCGGCCTTTACTTCAAAGAATCTACATCCACTTATTACAAAATTCTCTTAAAGAGAGCAAATGCTCACACAATAATAAGAACAGAAATAATAAAGCCAACACACAACGAGAAAACAATTATTGAAGTCTATATGTGAATCTCCATCCGTAGTTGATAAAAATCTATATGACCGTAACTTCTAAGCTTCGATATGCAGAATATAAGAATGCCATGTTCTCTTCACACTTTTGAAGATGTTCCTAGATCCGGAGCCGAGCGTTGCCCAGAAAAGCATCTGAATATAAGATTTATTTGGAGATTTATCAAAAACTACGTCATTTCTACTCAACCATAGAGCCCAACACAAAACAAAAGCTACAACAAATATGAGGTTTTTAATATTTATTCAACACCACCAAGCCAATTCCCAACCACATTAGAAATACTATCAGGAGGTTTTGGACCAAGGAAATATGAACTATTCTCCAAAGAAATTTTGCAATATGGCAGTAAAAAAAAGAAGATGTTGAAGTCTTATTTTTCATTGAAACATCTTTTACTCCTGTTCCAATTCCTTCTCGCTAAATTATCCTTGTTAGAATCACAACTTTGAACAAAAACCACATAAAAAATCTTAATCTTAATTGGCATCTTTAATTTTCATATAAATTTATTCCTCTCAATATAACCATTGTTAATCAAGGATGAATACATTGATGTAACAGAAAATTGACCATTCTGACGAAGATTCCATTTGAAAGAGTCATTTGATCCATTCAAATTAGTATGCAAAATCAATGCAACTAAGTTATGCCAGTTAATTAAGTTCTGACCAACCAACGTTCTTTTGAAAGAAACATTAAGCGGAACAGAATTCATAACAGTTGCGATTGAAACATTTCTCTTACGAACAATATTATATAAAGATAGAAATTTATCTTGTAAAGATGAATTCCCAACCCAAATATCCTCCCAACATTGATATCCTACTCTTAAGTGCCGGTACAACACTTATTCATTAGTAGAATATCGGTGCCCAACTAGCACCGATGATGACCTCCATGACCGCCGGTGCTGCAGAGGGACTGATAGACCTAACAAGCCGGCATCGATGAAGTGTCCTAGGGTAGTGCAAAACATTGGCACCTTTTGTTTGCTAGTATCACAGTTCAGTTCTAACACCAAAAACAATGGGGAACTGAAGTAACACTAAATGAATCCCAACCGGTAGTGTTTAGAATTTTTGTTAAAAAATTTGTGCAGTCTTTAATATAAGATTTCTTGATTTTTAGCTTTATAGGTTCAACAAGAAAACCTACCTTAAAAACTTATTTTACTCCTAATGTGCCACTACACCATATTTTGTGTTACATCTGATGTAGTTATTTCTCTCGTTTTCTTCTTAACCGTTCCCGCGAAGCCCAGCGATTTTTGGCGAAAATTGTGGCCTTGTTGTTTGTCTAGGATCTCTTCCCTTTCAATTTCTCATTGGTGACATAGAAGACAACTACATCTTTGGTGCTCCTATCTTCAACTTTCAGTTCCTCTTTTGGCCAGCCAGGCCTCCTCCCCTTCCTTGGTGCTCCTCTCCTCTTTTGGCTGGTTTGCTTCCAGACTATGGTCGTGGAGCCCTTGGGGAGATGAGGAGAGGGTGTTTGTCCATGAAGGTGGTTCAGCAAGTTAGTGGCCGGGAGGCCTTTGGCCTCGCCAGCGCTTTCAAGTGGCTTGCGGCAAAGTAGACATGTCGTAGGACTGTTTTGAGAACATCGTTCTTGCCCTCTGTGGTGGTAAAGTGTTCGTGTTTTCGCGGAGATGGAGCTGCTGCATCGGGTTTAGTCGATGAGCTGGGTAATGATAACGTACAACGCTTTCCCTCTGGCACCGTTCAAGGTCCTACAACTTTTAGATAATCATGGTCGAAAACCCTCCCAGGATCTGCCACGGGAGGGCGTCGAGAGGGGGCAGAGGCAGCCACCGCCGCCGGATCCACGCGCGGCTGCCGCTGACGCCACCACCACCGCCAACCGTGGCCGCTATCGTCGGGTCACCGCCACCCTTCCTGCCAGATTTGGCGGAGGGGAGGGTGCGGCCGTCACTGCCGCCTTCACCGGAGGCCGCCGCGGCCTCCCTCCTGCCGTTGCACGCCGCCTCCCACCGCCGCACGCCGCTGCTGCCGTCGGGCCGCCCCTCCGGGTCGCCGTCGGGTCGCGCCAAGAGAAAAGGAAGAAGTAGAGAGGAATGAGGAGGAAGAGGAAGATAGAAGAAGAGATGACGGATAAGAACAAGAGAGTTCGAGAGAGAGGAAGATATAAGAACGACAGAGAGGTAGAGATAAATTGCGCCGGTGGGTCCCACTGGCTCGGTTGACCGACTCGGCTCACGGCTCGATTTTTAAAAGGTGCCGGTTTGTATTGAAAAACCAACACCTATAATCATTTAAAGGTGCCGGTTTTTTGTGTTTTCGGACCGCGGAGATGAGAAAAGGTCTATATGTGTCGATTTTTGCACTTCTGGCACCTATAGTGCTGACATCTATTCGATGTTTTGTAGTAGTGGTTTCACCTCATTTATATGCCACTTGAGCAGGAACGAACGGGTCTAAGTAGACTGTAAATACACATGACATATGGATGATCAAACCATGAAATTAAGTGATCTTAAGGTTATTACTTTTACATGATGTGATTCAATGCATGTTGAGTTTGTGGTTCCAACTATAGATAACAGGAGTATACAGATCTTGGGTATGCCACCACCAGCGGTGGTGACAATGAATTTTCTACTAGTTATATATTTTAATAGTCAATTTTTTTTAAAGAAACAATTTTTACACTATAAATTCTATATGCGACAGTTGCCCGTTTGACCTATTGTGAAGTCTAACCATAAATTTGACTCTACTTTTTCTAAGTTTACCTATTTGACCTCATTTATCAAAATTGGAGCTACCGTCTGCCCCAGTTTCACTTCACCATTAAGGTTCCATTAAGAAAAAAATAAAAAAAATGAATTTAACTCTACGAATTTACCAAAATAAACCTGTTTACACCAACCTTATCCCCAACTTCATCTGGCGCAATGGTTTCCACTTTCCATGGAGGGAGCAGAATGAGCGATGGCGGCGGCAGCGACGACGCTCGAAGGGGGCGGCCGTGCAGAGGGAGCTGTTGCCACAGCCGAGGTAGAAGGAGCGGCAACGGCTCCGCTCAGAGCGTGTGGAGGCAGCGAAGGCAGCGCTTGGAGCGAGCGGCGGCGGAGACGCTCGAAGGGGATGGCAGCGCTTGAAGGGGGCGACAATGCTCACCGAGCTCTACGCCTGCTTCTGTGACGGCGAGACGGCGTGCTAGGGTCATCGATGATGCGGCCAGAGCCGTCCAAGGAGACCAAGCGCGCGCTCGACGGGATCCCGGCGCACGTGGTCCAGATGCCCCGCGACGGCGCCGTCGCCGACGAGGAGACGTCGTCGACGGACGAGGAGGGCGGTGTGTGCGCGGTGTGCCTGGCCGGCGGAGTACGCCGCTGGCGACGAGGTGCGCGTGCTGCTGTCGTGCGGGCACGAGTTCCACAGAGAGTGCGTCGACCGGTGGCTGCTCACGCGCCAAGGACTGCGGCGATGGTGAGAGCATCAAAAGGCACGGCAGCGGCAGCATTGGCCTCCTGCCTGTCGTCGCCGGTGGGTCCCACGTGCTTCCTGCAATTTTGGTTTTTGAATGAACACCATACATAGCAGCAAAAACAACACAAACGTTTCCCTACATGAACGACAGAGAACTAGTGGCTATTTTGATACTTGTGTTTTTCTTCATTATATGCAATTTGAGATCAACAAAATAGGGCAATATGCTGTGAAAATTTTCGAAGATATCTGCCATAATTATGTCAAATTGAAAGCCAAATCTTTCAAACTTATCTCAAATCAGTGGAAACTATACCAAATTCGTTACAAATATGTAAAAAGGTATGAATAAAAAAACTTTGATATAATAGGGTCAAATGAGTAAGGGCAAAAAGGACAACTTCTCTTGAGTTAACACCATTACCAAGTCTTTTTATGGAATAGGGTCGGCCTTAATCTTCAATTTGAAAAACAGGGTCAAATTGATAGTTAGGCTTCACAATAGGGTCAAATGAGCAATTGCCCCGTTCTATATTTATGCATAATAATTTTTTTCTATTGCCCATATTACATGATCATAATTTTTTTCGACCACATAGGAGTTATTAAGAACCAGAAAAGGTAAAGAAACCATGTGTATAATTTGTTTGCAGAGCTTGTACATCTTATTCAATGGAAACGATATCAACATATTTTCATGACTGGCCAATGGTGATAGCTTTATCATTCAATGAACTACAGTTGCGATTCAAGCACCCTCAAAATTATACATTTCCTATTCAGATTGTGACAATGATAATTTGTACGTTGAAAACATGCCTTTTTTTTTACTAATTATGGAATAAAAGAAGTTGAGCTTTACTTAAAATAAAATAAAGTAGTGCTTTCTGGTTTTTATATATCATAGTACTCCATTCATTATTAATTATGCCAACACATTTAGCCACATGTACATAACCCTACAAACCTTTTCCTTTATTATTTTCTCTGTACATAACACTGTAACTATTTTTATTATTTAATAACGCAGTAGGAGTCTCTCCTGCTGTTTCTCGTGAAAAAAAACATAAGGCCACATGATATTGACTACACAGATGATTGCTAACTAGGGATTTACTTATAATTAAGCGGAATGTTAATTATGGCTGCTCAAAAATGAAGCATACTATATGAATCATAGCAATAAATAAGATCACATCAAATGCCAAATATTATTTTTAGCAATTCATGCTACAAACACTCCTCTGCATAAGGCAGCAATGTCGAGATTGAAATGAAGAAATACAAACATCACTACAAGGAAAATGACAATAAAGCAGCAATGAGCTGCTTACATAGGATCATCCGAAGCAAGCTTGGATACACGATTATTCATAATAGAGACACTCTGATCAAAATCAAATTAAAGCGAAGTCATATGATGGAAACCTAGAGTGTTATTGGCTGAACAAGCAACAAGGATATCCATTCTTTCAGTATTGCAGAATCAGTATATCCATCAATTTTCTTGTACATTGTTTCCATCATGCGTGCAAGGTTAATAACCTGGATAAGCAAGGAAGACGGAATTGAGGTCAATTTTAGGTACTCCTCGTTCATATCTTTCCATGCATTTTCCACATCATTCCACAGTGCTTTAATGGCCTCCTCCTTTGTGCTGTCATACTCTTTCATATAGCAAGTTACAGCGGTAGCAACATTGTTCCTTTCGGTCTCAAACTACAAGCAAAGTAAAGCATCACATGAAGTTCCAATCTCTAGCACAAAAGCAAGCAAAACCAAACATTGTGAAAAATTTAGTTTTTAGAACATCTAAATAACAATTATGTTTGGTGCATTTGTGGGAGATGCTTTCTCTCCAAAAAAATGAGAAAATGTTTTGTGTATTTTGGAAAATATGTCCTATGCACTAGATGAAAAAGGAAAAAAAGTATTAAACACAATACAGAGTATAAGATTACCGCATGAGCAACAATGTCATCCATTAGTCGAGAAACAATACATGAATCCTTGACAATTTGAGGAAATCCTGACATCCATATCATAACCTCCTCTGTAACACCTTCTTGAAAAACAACAAAAGCAGTGCAGTTTATTGCCCAATAGAAGCACGTAACTAGTGTGATTTGCAAATGCTCCTTTAATGGGGGAATGTATTTACTATCTCTCCAATCGATTTCTGTTACATAGCCTTTGCATACTTCAGTGATCTATAAAATAAAGTAAGTCAAAGCATATGTACATGAGTGGGCTCTTTGCATATGTATTTTCAAAACACTTAATAATAAACTAATTTACTTTAATAAAATAAACATGTCATGCATGAATACACACATATAATTGAATGGATGGAATGGTGTAATTAAAAGGAAAAAATTACAAAAAAAACTGAGAATATACATACTATATCTTTGATAACATTAACATTCTTCCTTGGTGTTCCTTTTGGGAGTGCACCCTCAATCTCATTCATGGTGCCAAACATAAATTGAGCATATTCCTTGTAACATCTTCCAAGTTGCTCAGCACCCTTTTCATCCCACCTATAAGAAATTATCATGGGGAAACATGTACAAGATATTCATAGAGATATCATTGACTTAGTTATGTCAATGCATATGTGTGGACCATGAAAATTACAACTTAAATCAATCCTAACTTTAAATTATATTTGATAAGTATAAAGCTGAAACTTGCTTAATATTATTTTCTCAAAGTGTGATCGGGATGTGGAACAAAACCGTTGCATCACGTCAGCAAATGGTTGAAGCTCTTTCCAGAGTCCATAATTGTCAAAAGTATCATCATATGGTGTAATAGTTGCTATGAATTTCGCTAGCAACTTCCTAGGCTTTGCATATTCTGGTTCATAATACACACCCAACGCCCAAAAATATGCTTCTGCAGGCCTATGCCTTGCATAGAATAGTTCACGTGGGGACTCTAGCCCATGATACCACCTTTAAAACAGAAAACAAAGAACTGAATCATCAATGTCTTATTATATGGTAATGGAAATATTCGTTATAAATTTCCACCAAATTAACTTACTCGCATATTTCTTTGACTTCTTCCCGGTGAAGTCGCTGCAATAAATAAAAGTCAAGTTTTGCTAGCTCAAGTATCATCTCGTTGCACTCCTCCTTATCTTCTTCATACAATGGTATGTAAAGTCTGGCCTCTAACCTCTTCATCCTACGGAAAGATGGTGTCTCAAGAGCATGTCTCACTTTATTAGAGAGTGGTTTCTCAATACAATCCACAATTCTTTTCAATTGATTTGTTGTTTCAACCTGTGCTTCTCGGAGAATTTCTTCATTAGGAGTTCCAAGATGTGCTGCCTCATATAGAGCAAGTAATGCTCTTGTATCACTACATAGGGTTCCGTTTAAGTTTCCTTGTTTATCAATGAATTCTTTAAATGCATCTGATCACGATTGATACAAAAATGTTAGATGAGAATATAACCACCTAACACACAAAATTTCAAGCCAACATTTTATATGTGACATGTAGAACTGCCAGATAGAGTGTTAATTAGACATTTTCATAAATTTCTTCACAAGGTTTAAAGAATAAAGAATTATATATCCATCCAAATAAGCTGCCACAAAATACTCATCGAAATATTTAGATGATGAGTGGAAAACACCTTTACATACAAGTCCTTTTTGCCAAGGAAAAAAAAGTTATGTTACAATTTTATCAACTATTTGAGAGGCTTTATCTTTTAAATTTGTAATTACATACCACGTAAGAACTCAATTTTCTACCTACAAAATGTTGCGTTGAGGATTTGATTCATTATCCACATTAACTAGCTCCCATGTGGAGTGGCACATCGCTTATATTTTTGTTCGCTTTGTTTAAAAGGATTGACTGATTGACTGTACTATGGTTATAGCCGGCTCCCACGGGCTTATAAGCTAAGCCTCACCAATATGAACATCCAAGGTGGTATTAAATCAACCAGTACAACATTTTGTGGCCCACATGGACCTCAGCACCACTACTACAAGCGACAAATGTATTAGGGTTTTACAAGTAGCAGTCTAGTTTTCCAAACAATTAACGTGATCAACCAGTAATTGTGTACATTTTGTAAGATATGAAAATTACATGTCTCTGATAAACTTATGGAAAAACATATATATTCTATCAAAATGATTGATATTTCAACTATGACCTGACATTTTACATGAAATTAACCTACTTCCACTTGAGTTATAGTTAAATAAAATAGTGCAGCAGATTGTTATAGCAGTTAGATGATTTGAAAGAAAATATGTGATTTTGAAAATTTATAGCAATTTAATCTATAATAGAATTTTATAGGTCATATATATGTAACTCTACAATGAATTCAACTTCCTGAAGGTGGTTTTCAAAATTATTGCATCTCAAATAAATAGATATAGGGAAGAAACGATACCGCATGGCATGTAGCGCCGCTGCTGTCTTAGCAACCGGAATTGAAGGGAGATCGCATGGAAATCATCATTCGCAAACTTCACAGAAACTAGACTTTCTAGGGAGTTATCTATTTCTTCTTTAAAATGATAAGATACTCCAAGACGTTGAAGTGCATCGATAAGCTTCATTTTTGCAAATGGATTGAGGATGTCTACAAACATTTCCCTTGTTTCAACTATTAGGTCATCACATCTTTCCGTCATCCACTCCAGTGATTTCTGTACACAGCAAATGGTTACCAATATGAGATACACTATATATTGTGCCGCCATAGAAAGCTGGCTAGCTATGTATTATTAATGCATAACTATGAAATGTGTAAACAATAATATATGCTAAGTAATTACATTTTTGTTGATATTGATTTACAAGATGTATGGAAAAGTAACAGTGGCAGTGGATTATACACTACTAGACAACCGATCTTTGCTCAATCGGCAAAACAACAAATATCTCAGATGTTTAACGGACCAGTGCTAAAGACCTCTTTAGCACCGGTTAAAACACCCAACGACACATTGCTATCTTTAGTCCTGATTCACACTTTGTCAGAGCATATCAAGCCTCCCAGGATATTTAGCACCGGTTTGTGGCAACAACCAGTACTAAAGATCGACATTTTAGTACCGGTTGATGACACAAACGAGTACTAAAGATCATTGCCTTTTTATGCTCTTCTTCCTCCTCCAGCCCGAGCCATTGCTACTAGTGAAAGGAGGAGAAAGAGAGGTGCTGCCAAAATTTTTTGTGAAAATATTTTGATATTATACAAATCAAAGAGATCTAAAGGTTAGCAACGTCATCCTCTATTGATGCATAGTTAACATTTTACATTTCTTGCTATGTTTGTATGCATTATTATCTCAATAACATATATGGAAAAAAGATGAGAGATAAAATTTTCTTTGGGGAAAATTAGTGTACTTCATAAAATTAGAAACATTTGTATAAATTTGTTAAAAAAACAACAAACGAAAAATATAGAAAATGAAGAAAAAAATAATCGAAAACTAAGTCCATTTGAAAATCATTAAAATAGTTAGAAATAAGTAGAATGCATTAAATATATGTCTAGAACTTTAAAAAATAATTAAAATAAGGATAATACATGGAAAAATATATTTACAATTTCTTGAGACAGATAAAATTTATACATAATTAACTATGACTCCAATTAAGTGCACTTAAAACTCGTTAAAATCATTAGAAATAAAAAGAATACATTAAAAATGTGTACCATCAGTTTTCAGTTTAATTATGATGTTTTAATTTATTATATAACTATTTAAGTAGTTTCACTTTCATAGACTTCCTTTGCATTTGGTATTTCCTCATGTAGATGAATCGGTAATGGCGTGCATTATTTTTTGAGCGTGGCCAATACCCACAAGCCTAATGGTTTTATTGATAGCGTGCATTATTTTTTGAGTAAAGTGCATTGGCGGTCCTTAAACTTGTAGGGTTGTGTCATATAGGTCCCTAAACTCTCAAAATGCATTTCCAGGTCTCAGAGCTTGTTAAAATATATCATCTAGGTCCCAAATTGACACATCCCCTCTAGGATCCTACGTGGCGCTGATGTGGCAATGCCACATGGACGTGATGCGTCCTTTTCTTTTTTCTTCTTCTTTTCTTTTTCTTTTTCGTTTTCTTCTCATTCTTCTTTTTTCCCTTTTTTTTTCTGCACGGGTCACAGAGAAAGGAGAAGAAAGGGGAAAAAAGAGAAGAAAAAAAGAAAAAAGAAAAAATGTCAGTCAAAATAATGCTATGTCATGTCCGTATGGCATGCCACATCAACAGCACGTAGGATCCTGAAGGGGTTGTGGCGATTTGGGTCCTAGATGATACACTATGACAAGTTTTGGGATTTGGATATGCATTTTGAGAGTTTAGGGACCTAGATGACAAATCCCTACAAGTTTAAGGACCGCTCGTATACTTTACTCTTATTTTTTTTAGTGTGGCCAATGCCCACAAGCCTAAGGGTTTTATATGTTGTCCATGCAAATAATGCAAAACTAGAAGGAGTATTCTACATCAAGAACTCTTCATATCTACTTGTTGGAGTCGGGATTCATGCCAGCTATAATTGTTGGACTTCACACGGAGAGTTAGGGATTGCAATGGAAGAAGATGAAGAAGAAGACGACAACTTTCTAGACTGGACACAATATATGTATGTTACTTACAAATATAAACATGTATATTACACACACACACACACACACACACACACACACACACACACACACACACACACACACACACACACACACACACACACACACACACACACACACATATATATATATATATATATATATATATATATATATATATATATATATATGGAAAAGCAAATATCAACCAAGGTTCATATGCACCACAAATCTCAGCCGTTCAGATGTTCCAAGATGCGTGTCCAAGCTGTTAAAAGTTATCACAATTGAGTGGTACTTGGGAAAGAGTTAATCCCTTAATTGCTAAAGCAGCTCGTTATGGTGCATATGTACAGGGTGACAAGTATGGCTATGTTTTGTCTTGTCACTGATTTTTTTGACCAAGTAGAACAGGACATTGCACGGCTTCATCCATAAATAAAGACATGACAAGCTTAGTGGATGTGATTGGGGTTGAGTCGAGAGCATTGGTAAGAGTAATTTTATAAATTTGTTTCTATTTTTGGGTGAGTGAATATTGATAGTTAATTAGTTGCTATAACTAATTTTGCATGTCCGATGCTATTCTTAAAACTGGCTTTTTACTGATCATATATATATATATATATATTAATCTATTAGTGTTAACTTGCTATAACTGATATTTTAATGCTATATACTGATTTCACATGTGAATATTGTTTCTTTTCTTTTGTTATCCATGGAATTTCAGTATACATGACCATTTTGGAAATAACACACATGTGATTTTTTAAATTTCGACACATGCCAAGTATATGATATCATTTTGCGACGTCATTTTTTTATACCTCACTTTTCAAAATGATATTTTCGTTGTATTTCATTTTTGGTGTCAACAAATTGTAGTGGACGTTATTTTCTTTGTCGATTACGGAATTATATTTTGCAATGTAGCATATATATGTAAAAATAAAAATAATGTGTTTCTTAATTTTAATATATGCCAAATGATATATCATTTTTTACAACGTCGGTTATATTGTAACTTTTTCACCATGATACAACGAATCTGGTCAAAAGCTGATTAGACTTTTTTAATCAGATTTATATAATATTTGTAACAGTTTATTTTTGACATTCTGTACTGCAACTATAATTTTTTATCAAAAGGCACATTATCAATAATTTTTTAAAACGGAGGGGAGGCAGAGGTTTTTTTGTCATGACATTTTTTCCTGCAAAGAGGTACACCTGCGGCACGTGCAGTCATTACATTTTGCATTCATATCGCGCATGTGTGGGGTCGCCGTATAGCAGCATGAGCAAGGGCAAAAATTGAGAACGCAACATGTAACTATCTAACCCTGCAACACACGGCTGTATATAGGGGCTCCATGGGGGCAGGTACATCTTTGATGGTGGTTACTAGACATAACGAGCCCTAGATGTACAAGAACATGTGTACACGTGTCGCTCAAAGGAATGAGGTGCATATACACCTCGGTTCACATTATATGTATATATATATATATATATATATATATATATATATATATATATATATATATATATATTGGCATTTACACACACACGTATATGTGTGTATAAGAAATCGTCAAGCAATAGCAAGCATTTTTTTTTAAAAAAAATATATTTAGTACTGGCTGGTAACACTTGGCGCTACCATCACCAACTGGTACTAAAGATCGATTTTTAGTCCTGATTATTTCAGCCATTTAAAATACCTATCTGTAGTCTCGGATTGTGCGTCCGGTATCACAATCGGAACTAAATGGGGTTGCGAACCGGTCTTAAAGATCGATTCCCTAGCAGTGATAGGAAACACGCTATCTTGAGTCAAAAATATGCACATATTGAACATGGTCATGGTCCTACCCACAAATATTACACACAAGTGAGTGTGCTCACAAGTGTGTGTGACCATGTGTATTCTTATAATATTGCTCTTACCAAATACAGGGGTGGAGCTATGCGAGTTGAGGGGGGGGGGGGGGTGCGTAGGAACCTGGTTCAAAAATATTTTTTTGCTACAGTTCATATATTTTCACCATATGTGTGCCCCTTAGTTGAAACTTAGGCACTTGCTTCAACCTAAACTTGGTCCAAAGGAGAGTAAAACAAGCGAGAGGCACTCCCTCCATTTCATTCTAGCTCCTCTCCAAACCAAACATTGTAAAAGAATAACTTTATTGTGCAATATAAATATTTGGTAAAATTTGTTTAAAGATGCTCTAGATTTGTGGTATACACTTTAGGACACTCTTGTTTTGTGGATAACATAGGATATCGAACTATAGCTAAGCTTAGTTTTGTCTAGCTCGTTTGGATAATGAGTTAGCTAGCTCATCTCGGCCATTATTTCAATAAGCTAGAAGGCGAGCTAGGCTCAGCTTGTTTGCTATCTTGAGCCAGCTTGTTTAGCTCACGGGCTAGCACATTCAAATCAAGAATCTACAGACCATATTGATATGCAATCTAAGTTCAAGTGTGCAAATGTTTGCATATAATCTAAGTACCACTCCAACAAGCAAACTAGCAAATACAAAGGTTCAATCTTCACACGTTTAGAAGTCCATAAAAGTATATACACATATTCAGTACATAATCTGTATCCATAAATCAGGTCCATTCATATCATCCATGTCTCCATGCTTCTGTTCCATGGCAACACACAAAATGCAACAGCAAAACAACTAATTACTTGTCCAGTAATGATGGCTGTCATATACCCCTAGCTTGTTAAGCTCGCGAGCAGCTTGTTATGGCTAACAAGTCGAAACGGTACGTAGCTTGGCTCATTAGGAAAACACAACGAGCTGAATTGAGCTGAGCCAAGCCGGCACGAGCTGAGCGAGCTAATGAGCCATGAGATTTTGGCACTACAAAATTAACACTCTGAAAGTATTTTCCATTACAAATCTAATGATACAATATGATGGTACCACTACGGAAGAAGTGATCTTTGTTGGGATTGCAAAAATCACATTAGTCCCTGTTCGAATAGGAACCGAGACTAAATAATATGTTTAGTCCTGGTTCATAAGTCCAATGGTACTTTATGATCTTTAGTCCTATGGCACTTTATGATCTTTAGTCCCGATTGGTAAAGATCATTTTTACTTCCGGTTATTACCAACCAGGACTAAATATCTCTCTCCCACGTCCTTACATTGGGATGCTTTAGTCCTAACCCCACGACAATTGACCCAGAAAAAAGAGGGAGATTGAGACCCACACGTCCTTTATTATCTCTTTCGCTCTCTGTCTCCTCGAGTCCTCGCCTCTTTCTCCTCAATTTCGCTCGCTCTCTATGTCGATCTCCTCCTCCCTCTCTCTCTCTCTCTCTCTCTCTCTCTCTCTCTCTCTCTCTCTCTCTCTCTCTCTCTCGCAACGGCCGGGCTAGGCGGCGGCAACGGCCGGGCGGGAGAAGCGGGGACGGCGACAACAGGGTGGGAGATGCAAGGCGGCGATGGTGATGGCCTCGCCCTCCCCTCTGCCAGCTCCGGCAGGAGGGGAGGCGGTGGCGGCGGCTGGGCAGTAGAAGCGGGGGCGGCGGCCTCGCTCTCCCCTCCACCAGATTCGGTGGGAGGGGAGGCGACGGCAGCCAGGCGGGGACGGCAACAGCAGGGCGGCGGTGGAGCGATGGCGGCTCGACGGAGGAAGAATTTGTTTTCTAGGAATTTGTGATGATTTTTTTTAGAATTTGTGATGTATTTGATCTGTGATGTATTTGTGATGTTTTTTTTAGAATTTATGATGTATTTTTTTAGAACTTGTGATGCATTTGATCTGTGATGATGTGAATCTGTGAATCTGTGATTGTGAATATGTGATTTGGGGATTGTAGGGAGCAACTCGATTGGGGAAATTAATGTGCAAGCAGTAAAAATTAATGAAAAAAAAGAATAAAAACCTTTAGTCCCAACTGGTGTTACCACCCGGTACTAAAAATGAATCTTTAGTCCCGATTATTTCAACCGAAACTAAAGATGGGTATGCAATCCGGAACTAAAGGGGGTTGTAAACCAGAACTAAAGATGAGTTCCCCAGTAGTGTACAACCATCTATTTCTAGTTTAATTACCTGTTAATTTTGAAATATTAACTTTGCAGAAAAGTACAACTTATATTCTAGAACAGAACAGAGATGTATAGTTTCGAACAAAGAGAGTACCCGATAGTTATGAGGCAGTATTGGGTTCCTAATGAAGTAGTCACCCCACACACTCGACCTATAGTTTACAGCGTGGCGCTCCTCATCCACCACCCTATATCCTTGTGCGATCACTCTGCCGGCCATGTTGTTCTCTGCCAGCTGATCTATATGAACACTTACGATGTACTCTCTCTGTGGCTGAACTAACGAAGCTAGCTAGCTACGCCTGCTTACTACATCTTTCGCATGCCTATTTATAGGCGATCGAGCTGATGAGCATGCTACGTTGCTAGTAACTTCTAACCACAAAATTTGGCTCCAGAGCATCGATTGAAAACTACTAGTTCATTTTAATAGCATTGAAAGTTCTATTAGTTCTTCCCTTTTTATTAATTCCTGAAATACTCTTGTTTGCCGTCAACTTTGACCAGGATTGGTTCAGCTATGCAAGTGAAATTACAAATCCTACCCATCCGTTCGACCTAAACAGCCAAATCACTGCGTTCGGATCTCTAACCTCATCTTCCCTAACTTTTGTTTGTCAAACTAAAAGAGTAAAAGTGTTGAGGGTGATGATGAGGTTGAATATATGCCTATCAGACTTTCCAAAGCCCATCCAGTTAAAGTGGTACATTAATCTCGTATTGTTCAAGTTACATAGTTTAGATCCGCCTGGTAAAAAAGTGTTTCCACTGGCGATTTCTTTAGTAACATCCCATGCAAAACGTATTACACAGGCAGAGATTGAAGATATCCGCATATGTAAATATATTTTCTAGGGCAGCTCTTGATGTGCCTGCAAAAATCAACAATTATTGTATGCCCTTGGTTCAGATGGAGTGGAAATGCATGTGTAAACGGCTTATGCATCATCTAGACAAACATTTTCTGTAGTAGTGACAGAAGTTTCTTCAAAGAATCAAATAAATTTATTCTCTAAGTTTATAATAATTAATATTAATTTAATCATGTGCAAATACCCCTTCGGTAGTGTTCGGTTCTAATAAAGATGAAGATGATGTTACAGCATGGAAAACAATAAAGCCATTAGTGCATGATTAATAGAGTTTTAAGTATTACAAACTTAAAAATAAATTTATCTGATATTCTAGAGCGACTTTTATACAGAAAATTTTCGCATAAAATGTATCGTTTGGCCGTTTGAAGAAATGCTAATGGAAACCAAGGTAAAATCTATATCTTAATAAAAAAAGAATGGAACATAATATCTAGTTCAACCATTCTCCGCAGGCAGCGAACTGAGGCTTTAAGCTATCTACACATGGAGCAGTCCAAACCCCTATCTCTCTCGCCACCTGTCGCGATTGGTGACCCTGCCCTGATGCCCTAGTGCCTGGTTGTAGTTGGCACCTAGTCATGGGGAAAAAAACAAAGTAACAAATTAAAAAAGCGAGTTGCAACAAGATGTTCCTATACGACGTCGATATGACTATAGATAATTGAATACCCATTAGACCAGAGGCTATATATTGATAGTGATGCAAGAGCTCGATTGAGAAAGTTCAAACAAAAATCTATATTATAGGGCTGGAAGTTCGGTTTATATCATTAAATATGTTTTGAATCAAATTATGAACCAATGTCAAATTAGGAACCTGTCTGATTTTGTATTATGACTCTTGTAGCGTATTGACCTTTAGGATGGTTATGAATTTTTTTTTTCATACACTAAGGCTGTAAGGCTTATCTCAGTTGTCCTGAGTGGTGGACAGAAACTATAAATGATGTATGTACAAGTTGTACATTACTATTGATCGATATTGAGATGACAATACCCCAATTATTGTTTCAGCCATGAGCAAAGTGTGGGCATCGAGATATATGTCCTTGGTAGATGTTATCAGAAAAACAACCAGCAGTTTGAGGCACCAAGTAACCTACTCTTCCCACTTTAGTTTTTCAAACTAAAAAGTGTTGAGGGTGATGATGAGGTTGAATATATGCCTATCAGACTTTCCAAAGACCATCCGATTAAAGTTGTACATTAATCTCGTATTTTTCGAGTTACATACTTTAGATCCACCTGGTAAAAAATGTTTCCCCTAAGGATATCTTCGGTAATATCACGTGCAAAACGTATTACATAGGTAGAGATAGAAGATATCCGCATACGTAAATATATTTTCTAGGGCAGTTCTTGATGTGCCTGCAAAAATCAACAATTTCCGTAAGCCCTTGGTTACAGATGGAGTGGAAATGTTTCGTTTTATGTAGTAGTGACAGAAGTTTCTTCAAATAATCAAATAAATTTATTCTCTATGTTTATAATAATTAATATTACTTTAATCATGTGCTAATTCCCCTTCGATGGTGTTCGTTTCTAATAAAGATGAAGATAATGTTACAGCATGGAAAACAATGAAGCCATTAGTGCATGACTAATTGAGTTTTAATTATTATAAACTTAAAAAATAAATTTAAGTGATATTTTAGAGCAACTTTTATATAGAAAATTTTTGCACAAATATACAGTTTAGTTGTTTGAAGACGTGCTAATGAAAACCAATCAATCTTAATCAGAAAAGAATGGTACCTAATATTTAGTTCAATCATTCTCCACAGTAGCGAACTGAGCCTTTAAGCCATCTTTACATCGAGCAGTCCAAACCCCCATGTCTCTCGCCACCTGTCGTGATTGGTGACCCTGCTCTGGTGTCCTAGTGCCCGTTCGTAGTTGGCACCTTGTTATGGGAAAAAAAAGCAACAAATTAAGAAAGTGAGTTGCAACAAGATATTTTTGTACGACGTCGATTTGAGTATAGACGATTGAGCACCCAGTTAGAAGAGAAGCTATATATTGACAGTGATGCAAGAGCTTGATTGAGAAAGTTTAAATAAAAATCTATGATAGGGCTGGAAGTTCAGTTTATATCATTAAATATGCTTTGAAGTCACTAAAAAAATGAGTGTAGAAATTTTCACTGAAAATTTAATATTTTCCACATACTTATTAATAATCTAGTACAAATCGATATTATTACATCATACTTAGGGATAAAAAACTCCCTCTTTGTTCCAAGGAAAAAAGAATCATATGTACCAAGGAAAAAGGAACCATCTGTACCAAAGGAACCATTTGTACCAATGAAGCAAGAAGTCTAACCTACTCGTACAGTTTTGATATTATTTTTATAATTCAAGTTGTGAAGAAGGTGGGTACCGGCTACGTACATGGCCTACATATTCTGACTAAATATAAGATGTGGACTAGATCCACGTATTATATAATAGAGTAAAACTTGATCGCAATATTTTTTTGTGCTCTATGACCAAATCGTGCCTAAGAACATACTCCCTCTATCCCATAATATAAGGCGCGGTCAAAGTTGACACGGTGCCCAAAATTAATCTTTAACTTATTATTTTTCATATACTATATGGTTTGATCAATAAAACTATAACCATATGAAAGTAAATTTAAATCTCAATCTATGATATAATTTTTAACAAATATAATTTGTTTTATATTATTGTTGGTCAAATGTTTTGAAAGTTAAACCAAAGTAGATACTTTTTTCCTAAAAAAAAAACTCCTTTCCAAACTGTACAATCTTCTTCCAAATAGCTAATTCATGATCAACCCCATCACACCCTCTTCCGACAAAACAAAATTTCACCTCTCGCAGTAAGCGCGCTAAGCCCTGGCTCTATGCAATTACTGCGCCCCATCAAGATCGATTTTCCCGTGTTGATGTCAGCACTTGCATCATCGGAAGCGATCTGATTGAACAAAATACTCCATAGTGACATCCTGATCTGACAAGCCAAAGCTAGCTTCATCCTGATCTGACAAGCCAAAGCTAACTTCCACATTCTCTGAACGGGATATTGTAGTACTGCATGCCACGATGAGAGCACCGATGAACCATCATGGTCCCGAATGACCACACCAATACCAGCAGCACCATCTGAAGTGGAGAACGATCTATTCACATTCACCTTAGCCCAACCTATCAGGACATTCCCAAATCCATTTTCATCCGTCTGGGGCCATGAAGAGAAGTTTAAATCATGAGAAAATTCGATGTTCTTGCAATGTAGTAGTACAGTCATCTTGCAAGTGCTATTAATAAGTAATGAACAGTTTAATCATGATGAAATTCAATGTTCTTGCAATGTACAGTCATCTTACAAGTGCTATTAATCGTGATGAGATGACCTGTCTGTGCATCATTGGATTTCTTGAGCTTGCGAGCCGCGGCTGTCACTGCTGTGGGGCTAGGCGGCTAGCGGGTGATGGGATGATATGCTTAGATGAGACTAAAAACTTTTAAATCCCTATCACATCAAATGTTTGGATACTAATTATAAATATTAAATATAAACTATTAATAAAACCCATCCATAATCTTGGACTAATTCGCGAGACGAATCTATTGAGCCTAATTAATCCATGATTAGCCTATGTGATGCTACATGATGCTACAGTAAACATTCTCTAATTATGGAATAAGTAGGCTTAAAAAAATTGTCTCGCAAATTAGCTTTCATTTATGTAATTAGTTTTGTAAGTAGTCTATATTTAATACTTTAAATTAGTGTCTAAATATAAGACTAAAGTTAAGTACCTAGATCCAAACATCACCTTATTGTTTTTTTTTTCTTTTTGTCTTCTAGCTGGCTGTCACTGCTCGCCTCCCGCTCCATGTGCTCCGGCCTCCGGCCTGCTGCTACCACAATATCAAGAGATTTTCTATGGTGTTTGGGATTTATCTGGACCATTAATCGCTTATAATCTAAGGCACTAGGATAGAAGGTACTGATAAGAAGGTGCTTAAAACGTGAGCAAGGTATTAACTTAGTATTAGGTGGAAGGTTAGAATAGTAATTACCAATTCGTTTGATTAAGGGTGAATCTGTCCGATCCTTTCTCGATCTACTCTTTTCTCGTTCCTACATTCGCATCTGCGCGTGGCTCCTGGCGCTCGCAGTCGTTCTCGTGGCCTTGGCCTTGACCAAAAGAAAGGCTGATTAACGAAAAATCAGATTAATGGTCTAACATTCACATACGATGGTTAGAAAATGGGACTGCCAGATTTGTACAATGGAAACTGTTGTGAAGGGTGCTGAAGTAAACAAAGTGCTGCAGGTCACACAAAAACGTGATAAAAGGCCTGGTTTAGTTCCCAACTTTTTCTTCAAACTTCCAACTTTTCCATTACATCAAAACTTTTCTACACGCATAAACTTTCAACTTTTCCGTCACATCATTCAAATTTCAACCAAACT